ATGGCATAAGATATAGAAGCTGCTTAGTGCTTTAGTTTGAAGCCAAGGAAATTTAATGAGAATTATTCCGAATGGATTACAGCTTGTACAGCCTAAGCTCTACTGGATCATACGTGGACCATCTGACTGTGGGTTGTTCTGCTAGGACGAACTGTTCTTTTTCCCCATTTCTTTTCTCTTAAACCTTTCAGGAGAGAATTTTAATGCAGTGGTGATCTAGTGTAGGCCAGAGATCATAACTGTAGAGTAAGCCAGCAGTTTGTAAAATCTCTTACAGGTTTTTTTTTATGATTAATAACTCTATAGCAGCAAATACTATTCAGGAGAAGTAAGATAAAACATGTAAAATAGTGTGTGTGTCTGTATGTGCTATGTATTAGAGCTAGCAAGCCTCAGTCTGTCCCAGTTAATTTGTTTCATCACATGAAGTGATGTGATGGAATGTTAATGTCAGCACCCTCTTTATTTACACACTGTGGAAAAAAGGAGTAGTAATTAACACTTTGACACTCCCCCGTTGATGTGTAATTGACTGTTTCAAAGGAGCACTGGTTCATAAGGTATTGCATGCATTAAAATTACATTTTTTATATTCTAGCTTTTTAGGACAGGGGTCAGCGACAATGCAGAAATTGCTCAATGATGCAGATTTTTTTATTACTGCATTAAGGTTTTGACATATTGGTAATGAATGAATGCTTCCATAAAAATTAGGGTTGGGGTTATTTTTTTCTGTTTTGTTTTTATAACTTTGATTTTGAAATGACACTTCAACACTGGCTGAATCCATTTAGGGAAAGGCAGAGTTTTGCTAAAACAGAGTTTAGTGCAGCCTTTAAAAGGAAGCATTATTTTGTTTAATGGAGTGTGGTATAATTTTGAGAATAATTACCCTCAAAGCTTTAAAATGCTGGTACTTCAGGTATTAAAATGATGGAAATGCCAGTGTGATTTTTTCCATGGATAAAATTAGCAGCAAGTTTGTGGTAGTTTGTAAATATGTATGTAGAATAAGCACACCTTCTGTCATATGTATTTGCACATTACTTGGGTAGACATCTTAACACCATTCTTTCTTAGCGGAAAGTGGGGTTTGCAATGTAATTATTTTTATGTATTGAAATGGCTTATGTTAGTTGTGCACAGAAGTATTTGCTGAAAATGCTGTTACGGTAACATTTGAATAAAGTTATGGGAGGTTAATTACATATATAGTTGGCATTAATTATACATTGTACCATAGTCATGATTTCTTTTGCTCTGCCTCCCTGTATCTGTGTTTACCTCTGCGAATTTACAGTGTGCGCATTTCCAATAGTAAAACCCTTAAGTATTTGTGTAACTGGTTTGAAACTTTGAAACTCAACTGTTTTGACAGCCTTACTTCCAGTTATCTTGATTTCTCACCTGCTTTATGTTGTACTCAGAAAATTCTGAATGTCTCTGAGCAGTGGACAAGATGGGGTTTCTGAGGCAGGTTAGGTCAGAATGCTAGGAACTTCGTCTGAGTGTTTCAGCCATGCCTTCAAAAAACAAGGGCAATTTGCTGTAGGAACAATACAATTACTAGATGAGGCATTCCAAAATTCTCCGGGGCACTTGTGATCTGTTGCGAGAAACAAACATATTTTTAACCATGCTTTAAAGATTATTTTTTCATTTTTTAACAAGTTGCCAACATATTTGGCTTTAAAATAAATGGTATCAGTAATAGGATTTTAGTGCCAGTGCAGCATTGTCTTTAGTTCTAACTTTCTCTGGATTAGGACTAGTCTAAACTGGTGCAGAGAAGCTCCTACAGGTGGTGTCCGTTTGTGACCATTTGTTGTTTTATTAATGCTGACAATTTAGGCCAGCAGTAGAATCGTCTGTGTCAACTGAATCGCCCTAACATGGCCACATCTAATCTGCAGTCTTTTTCAGAAAGTTAATCAGCATCTCATTTGCATTTGTTAATTAGGGTTAATGTGTGCTAATTGATTTTTTGATGCTTGTAGAGTTCCATTAAACCCAGTTAGGTATAGTTGCTGGTGCTCCTCATTTGCATGAATTATGATCGTGTTTTTGTTGAATCAGTGCCAAACAGGGAACCTGCATCATAATTATAGCTAATTAAAACAACATGATGTCGTGCACTAATGGGCTTTCCTGTTAGCAAATGGATGTTGTAAATTCCAAAATTAACTTGTTTACTGAAGCAATGTGAATGTTTATAATGTTATTTTGAAACAAAATGTTTGATACTCATTTTAAAGAAACTTCCCCATAACCATTGTTGGTATCACGCAGAGCCTGGATTAAGGAATACCTCGGTTCATCTGAGTGTCTCAACTTTGTTGACCTAGGGTTTTGCTTTTTTTTCAGGAAAGCAGCCTCTGAGGTGTGCAGGCCTTTGGCTCAATGCCTTGTGTTTCCATTCATACAATCATGTGAAAGATCTACCCTAACTTTTAATAACTCTTCCTCTATTCTTGAAGAGCACTTTATTGCCATGCTAGATACTGTAAGCACATATGTGACATGTGATGCTTTTTTGCTGTGATATAACAGTTAATTTGGTGCCAAAACATATTCTTCTGGCACAAAAATGTTATGTTGCTGAACCATTAGTGAGAAAGGTTTATTTTCAAGCAACTACATGAGCACGCGTGGTGAGGCTGTAAGAGGGTTTTGACATTACCATTTATGGATATTCCACTTGTTCTTGCATTGCTGTTCTTCCAGATGAAGAGACATTCACTTGCACCCTTGCCACCTAAAATTTTGTTCAGGTGATGTTTTTAATGTTTAAAAAAACCTCTGTGCATCACTTTCATAGGTATTTTTGACCTTTCACTTGACAACAACTGAGTCTTGGTGAATTCAGAACTAAATTACCTGTTTTAACAAAGCATAAGGAAGATCCAGGAACTGATGTTATACCTCAAAAAATGTTTATCAGGACAGATGGAATATTTTCTTCATGTGAAATAAATTTTAGATTATTGGAAGCATGTATTAAGAATAACATGGAAAACAATGAGCTACTGAGTTATAATTCATAAGCTGTCAACACTTTTACACAGGCTTGTTGCACGAACACAATATGGCAAAAATGAGGCTACTTACTTTCATGGGAATGGCTGTAGAGAATAAAGAAATATCATTTGACACAATGCAACAGGAACTGCAGATTGGAGCTGATGATGTAGAGGCATTTGTTATTGATGGTAAGAACCGCAGTACCATAATTTACCCAGTACTAATGAACAATACTATTTATAGTCTTCTCAGCTAATGTTAAATATTAAGGAAAATACTAATTTTTAATTTCTGCGTTTGTTACAAGATATGGCTGCAAAACTTTATGCTCAAAACCAAGCCTAACTGCGTCTCTTAAACAGTGTTTTCCTTTCCAGTGACAGGAACTATATTTCATATAATTTTTTTATAGAACTAGTAACTTGTTTGCAGGTTTGTTATCTGGTTCTCTTTGCTGTCATTAAAACAGGATGTGTTTGTAGGGGAGAGAAGTTCATAAAAACTGTACAGGATATTGCTTTAATAGGTAGGCAACAAACAACAGGGTTCATGCATGGCCTTCATCTTATTCCATCATTTTGCTTTTCTGCCTACTAGACTGTTAAAACCAACAGCAAACCTGTATTAAATGAACTGCTGTGGTTTCATCTTTGTATTGATTTAACTTTTAATAGTTTTTATGCAGTTTAATACCTTTGCACTATCTTGAGAACATTGCTCAAAACAGCATTGCTTTTTTGCAGCTGTAAAGACAAAGATGGTATACTGCAAAATAGATCAGACACAGAGGAAAGTAGTTGTCAGGTAAGACTTAATTCTTCATAGCATTTTGCAGAACTTACTGTGTTCTAATAATTCAACTTATATTTGTAGAGTATTTTAACTAGAAACAAGGTATTGTTCCTGTCAGTTGCTGGTAGTTAAATAGTTGCTATTTATCATAATTTTATTAAAGCTCACACTGAATGTGATTAACTTATTTAATGAAAGAGTCCTACTTTCCAGCGCATTTCATTTAATGATCTAATAGTGACACGAATACTAATGACTGTTGCTGCTTTAAATATTTGGGAAGGCTAAAGGATTCTCTTAAATGATTAAGTGGAGCCCCTTATATAGGGAAAATAAAAATTTTCCTATTCATTTGTGAGAGTAAAGTAGTGCTATAAAAGAATTACTAGGTGATTATGACAGCTAGTAATCATCTTCCAATTCTGTTTTACTTCTCTAGTCACAGCACACATCGGACCTTTGGAAAGCAGCAGTGGCAGCAATTGTATGACACTCTAAATACCTGGAAACAAAACTTGAATCAAGTGAAAAACAGTCTCCTCAGTCTCTCAGACACCTAAAATTTTTTTTTTTTTTTTTACCTAGTAATGTCACTATAGATGAAATTTATTCAAAACTTTGATAATTTGTGAATGTTTCCAAAATATCTGCAATTGGTTTAAGGAAGCTAAATATTCTAAATTGCAACAGGACAAAAGGCAATAAAACAAACATGGGAAAATGCTTTCTGTTGATTTTCTTACATAAATCGCAACAACTAACAGTAGCAATATTGATTATGCTTCTCTTCTTCGTATTGTGAACTTCAACAAGAATGTCTTTCTTTGCAAGAGGTGTGGGGAGCGAGGAAGGGAGATCAGAAAAATGATAGTGCAGGTAATTGTAAAGTAAGGGAAAATTTCCCTTATAGCCTACAGGAGAAAAAATGTGAACCAGGCAGAAGTTAATCGTATCAGATGCTTTAGTGTCAAAAGAGACATTCTTGATACAGGATCAACTACAACATATATTTAAATAATTTAGCAGTAAAGGTAAGCAGATTTTCCTGTTCTGCCACTCAGAACTGCTGTAAGTTGTTGTGTTTGTAGAAACCTTTTTATTTTGAAACAGTTGCAGCTGATCTAGTTTGAAAACTGAGCGAGCAGTTGACACAGAAAACAAAGTATTTCCGCCAGGCTTCTGAGGACCAAAAGGGAACTCTTAAGTAATCGTTTAGTTTTACTTAATGGCTATTAAAACATTAACTTGTGAACTTCTTAACTTTGGGGAAAAGTCCATAATAACCGGGATTTGATTGCAGAGACAGAGAACTAATGTTATTAGCAGGGATTGCATCCATTTCTAAACATGACTAGGTCTATATGCTGTATTATATATGAAAGCACAGTGCATGCATGCTATGTTCCATAGGAATACCTCTGCAAATCTGGTTTAGGCAAGTGATTTATCTATGCTTAAAAGACATGCTTTTCATCTCCTGCCACTGATCCTCACTGGCCTCCTTCATATTTTCTTTTTTTTGCTGAATGAACTCGTTCCAAATTCAAGAATTTTTCAATTTCTTCCATTTCATTTTGTATGATGGAGTTATGACTAGAACAGGTGTCCTCACTGAGTGCATTTCCTGCTGGAGCTACAGTCACCTGAGGAGACTTCTCATGCTGTGAAGCAGTAAATCCTCGTTTCACCTGACAGAATACAAATTTAGCAGTTAATAATCCAGTGAAATTCAGGTAGAGGTTCAAATTGTTAGATTTTGCTGAGCATTAAGCAAGCAAGGAAATGTATATAGAAAGATTAAATCAGGTGGTGGGGGGGGGGGAATTAATTTGAAATGCTTGCTTCAGCTTTAATTTAGAAAGCTTGATAATGATAAATATACTTTTATAAACCAAGCCTTAAAGTAAGACTTTGTACAGAAGAGTTGTGATTAAAAGAACCCGAACCTTGTACTGGAATGCAGATTAGCAAAATAACTAGTTTAATTGAAGAGTATAACGTTGTAATTGACATTTCTATAGCTATGCAAGCATTTGATTAACAAAACCCAAAATTGTGAGGTTTAGAGTTTTAACTCCCTCTCTGCTTCACTGTACACACTAGGAAGCAACCATCATTAACTAATGCAAAGTGTAATAGGTTGTTTTTTTTTTATGTTAAAGATATTTTTTTCTTTGAATAATTTTAATTACTATCTGATAGATTCTCTGTATATATCCAAATCGAATACACGACAACACAGTAGGGAAATGGATTTTTTTTGCTTGAATGATGAGTTCTCCACTTACAATCCGGCACTGTGGCTCTGGGGGAGGCCAGCACGCAGGAACAGCACAAGCAAGGTATGTGAGCCAGTGCTGCAGTGGTTCCTGGGGATTTGTAACATGACATTGAATGCTCTGGTTGCATGCTGGAGCAATTCTATTACAGACATCACAATATAAGGCTGTCTCCTAGTGCTCAATTATATTTTAATATTGAGCAACTGTGCCCCAAAAGTGACTGTAAGCCCACATAGTCTTTATCAGGCCTGCCTTTATGCACATGAATATTGTGCTAAAACTCCTTCCCCAGTACACAAGCATTTCTTGAAGTTTAAAATATGAATAGTAAACTTCATACAAATTGTTCATTGAGCTTACTGCATGTGTAATAGCATTACTTCCATGCAGCTGAGAACAGATACTTCAGGTCAATAATGACTAATCTCTGTTTCAGCAAGGAAATAACTTTGTTGGAGATACGAAGTACTGAACCTGTTAATTCTAATGGCTGTACCCATATGCTTTTCCCATGCTCTTTCCCAAGGCCTCGGAAAGAAACATCATACTTCATTGCAAGCTGCTAGTCAAAATCTCTATGGAATAGCACATGGGGCTGCATCTGTCCTGTACTAATAACCCCAGAGAAAAACTTTCATTAGATCTTCCACAGGTGGAAGTGAAGTTTTCTAATGAAACAAAGCCATGCCATGTTGTTTGGATTTTACTGAGGAAAACAAGTGTTTAGACCTCTTTGGAGAAGTGACTGCAGTTAAGTAATACATGTATCTATCTATAAATATATATGTATAATTTTAATACAGATCTGTGACGATGTGTGTGGAATAAAGCTTTTTAAAAAAAAAAAACTGTCAAACTAAACGTCCTCAGCATTCTCACAATCAAGTACAAGTAAAATGTGTATCTTACTGCTAGTAACATGGCAACCTGTGGGATACATACATGTAAAAATCATTCACTGCTGAATAGTATGACTGCACAGTTAGAAACTTGCGCTTAAACTGAGCTGAGGATGCTTATTCATCCTTCCCTTGGTACTCAGGCATGTGCAGACTAATGTGTAAAACACTCTTTAATATTTTTTACTAAAAATTTTAAAGTGCAGCTGTAGCATTTCTTTTTAATTTTCATCACTGTTTAGAGTACTGCACTTTGGTTGAATGAGATTACCCAAGTTTTGGAAGGCATAAGTCTGCTCTAGCTCTAACCACGTTAGAACAAACAAACTGAGCAGCAAAAGAGATGTCCAAGCCTATTTTTAATCTCCCAACAGCTTTTCCATATCGCTCATAAACATGACAAATTTGAGGACAGAAGCTATTAGAATTACACCACCACAGAAGGGAAGGAGTGGTCTGCAATGCCCCAGGCTAAGATTTCAAAGATTAGGTATTTGGAAAATAATATAAGGTCAAACTAGCAAGGTACTCTGTCCTTATCCATCTCAGCTTTTACTTGCCTAGCACATAAGAAACTTTAGTTTGGAGGTGACAAAGTAGATACAACCACAATCAGATAATGAAATACAGCTTTGTTAGCTGTAGATTAGGTATTTTAGTTCACTCAATTCCTGACTCCACCTCAGTCAGAAAAAGCAAGAGAGACACAGTAAATACCACCACTGTGTTTGGTGAAAAAAACCCTCGCTGTCATTCCCAAGTAGAATCATGTTAGGAAAGTTAAGTAATTTAAAACATCAGTCTTCTGAATTTCAGAGAATATGAATGCTAGTGGCACTGAGAGCTGACTAAGCCTGGTGAAGTCAGCCAGTCTTGTCACTTGAAAACACTCTACACCCTGACTTCAAACTTCATTCAAAGAGACAGCCATAACTACCTGAGAAATACCTCTAGAGCCTCTTGTAAAAAGGAAGGTCAACTGTAGTTGTAAATTATTGTATCACTTGTGAATAGTATGTTTACCATTAGGTCTAATCCTAATACAGCCATTTCAGCTGTTCAAACTCCGCAGACTAACATAGGTCTAAAAATGCGGTGTGAGCCATTGCTAGTGCCCTCTGAAATGAGGTTGTCTTACAGGGGAAACAGCAACACAATAGGGTTCTTTTTAATTCTCTGCTTTTACACGTTTGTGTAATGTCATCTGATTCAATAAGACTATAACTAAAAATGGCATCATGTAACTGCAGCATAGAATAAAGGGACAGGCTCTAATTCATAGATACACTGACTTTTTAGTTTTTCACAAATTTCTTTTAGAAATGTGGTCTTAATAAAGGAAATGTTCTTATACTTTTACCTACCTTTATTTTTTTAAAAAACCCAACTCCTACTTTTACTGTAGGTGATGATTTCTATTAGGGTACACAATGAACTACCCTCTTTCTCCCCTCCCAAACAGATTGCTTAGCATCTGTTTGATTCATATGCTGTGACTTTTTCCTGCTGCTTTCTATCAACCTTAATTGTGAAAAATGGTGCCTTGTTGCCCTTTTGATATTATTTTGGAGATTGACTCAGTCTTAAAGTATCCAGATGAGTACAGTTGTACAAATATCTGTGGAATTAGCTCACTGAGGTCTGGTTCGCAATATTTTTAATTGACTTACATGTTCTGTGGGAAAAGAAGAATCATAAAAAGTCTTTGCTATAGCATTCCAGTCTTCACCAGGGTCTCCCTGGGGGGCTCGGTGGATGCTAGAGGTATTCAAAGTGTCAGCAGCTCTGTTAAAACTGGTAGAACCTGAGTGACAAAAAGGAAATGGTAACAACTGCAATTTAGTCTCTAGGCAGTAATTGTAAAGTTACTAAACTTCTGGTTTACCTCTGATCTTAAAAAAAATCAAATATTTTTGGTTTAAATCACTGAAGCTCTGTTTTAGGCTTTTCCCTCTTCATTTCTTGTTTTCTTTCCCATATTTCTGCATCTGCTTTTGTCTCTGAAGATGAGGTGTGTTTTTACTCTGATTGAAAATGTTTTATACTGTTTTTATATACTAAATTAATGACAAATATAAATTGTTATTTACAAAAAATGTATGTTCAGAATATTCTAATGGAGTATTTTTTTCCAATCAGTATTAAGACTCACCTTCCAATAATGATGATAAAATACATAATTAGTGCCATCCTAACATCATATTCCAGGGTGAAAACAAAACTCACATTCTAAATACAAGGATAAAGAACATTTTAAATGAGGAGTCTTTTTATAAATGGCTATACCTAGTATTTAAGGGAATCAGACTGTAGCTATCTAATAAAGGTAGGATGGGCAAATTAGTAGATCAATCAAGGCAGAGATAAGGCTCCAATCCTGCAGTGGCTTTATGTACTGCTAGTAGACTCCATTGAAACCAATATAAAGTTCCTTGCAAGATCAAAACATAAGCCTACTTTCACATTCAGCTGTTTTATCACTACACAGATGCAGATGCCTGTCGATCACTGCTACAACAGTAAAATCTTTGTTTTGCTCTGAAAATGCATGTTACCGCATAGCTGTGTAACAGTTAATTAAGAATACTGTAACTTTTCCTCTTGGAAGGAAGATAGTGATGAGTTTGCGTTAGTTTTTTAAGAGTTTGCCAGGAAGAGCCTGTTCATTCCTCTGTTTACTCATGTGGAGTGGCTGCTCTTTGGGAACCAAAGTTGTATAAATAGTAAACTGCATTGTGGTTAGGCAGTAAAAGGAATTCCCTCAGATAGGCTTACTAAACTCTTCCACCAATGCTCTTCACCTCTAGGTCTCCCGTATGGCTAAAACTGTTTGTGCTAGAGTAAGCAAAAATAAGTAAATTTAGGAACACTATCCACATGGATTCCGCTCCAGGTTTGCTATTTGGGAAAATATCTGAAAGCAAAAGAAAAAAGCCAAACGCAATAAATCTTGGAAGGTGTAGTGCTGAGTGCCACAGTGACTCTTGGGTGCCCTGCCAGTAAGGTTCTAGTCTCCAAAAGAGGTGCAGGATTCAGAGCGGTCAGCAAGCTGAAGTAGGGATCTGGCTAAATTAGGCAGGATAATGAGAGGGAGAGGCACATCTGGGACCTAGACCAAGATCCTCACTGTGAAGTATTACTAGAATTCAAGAGGTCTGGTGACTGTACTTGTCCCTGAGAGACTCACTGGGGGAAGCAGGGGTATCTTAAAATCCCTATCAACTCCTTTGAGGGAATCTCCCAAAGTCACTTCTTGGAATTGCAGTATTTTGCATACAGAAAGGTTTCTGACAAGAAAAGGAGAAACAAAGAACTTCAGATAGTGCTGGCTGTTCTTACAGAAAAGATACATGCAGAACATCACATAACTACACGTTCATTTTCTTGAAACAGGTATCAAAATTCATATTATTAATGTGCCATCTGAGATTAGGATCCTCCTACCATGCTATCACTACTGTTGTTTTAGGGAAAAAGACTTTTCTGAAACTGAACTTCAGATACTGTGCATCAGTGTACAAATACATGTAGGCAAGAGACCAAGTACAGAAATGAAGTTACCTATAAACCTAAATTCCTAACACCAGAACAGTATGCAGAAACCAGGCTGCTGGTTTTCTGCCTTACTGCACAAAACTAAGGGATGGGAGTCAGTTCTGCTTTTGGTACATTCAAGGGGCAAACCTCCAAACACTACATTAACAAAGTCTCAAACAAACACACCCTATACTGTGGATCTAGTTCTTCTGAAAAAACATCTAAGCACTCAGAGCTCCATTTTTCTACAGAAGTAGGGCTTTCAGTTCTACCAAAGCCTAAGAGATCATCTGCTCTTTTAAGTTTACAGTATGTGTTAAGAACAGAATCCACATGCAAGCTTGTAAGGAAACTTATAAGGAAGGCTCCTCTTATACTTCTGTATCTTATACTCTGGCCAGTTACTGAAGTGGGGGAACATCTATAAACACATTGGAGTCAGTTTGCTGTGGAAATAGAGATGACACGTTTATTACTTTGGTTAAAGACTGAATTTAGAAATGGCACTTTCACTAAATAAATATAGGGGTACTCCAGCAGCTAATTTTATTGCAAAACAAACCTAAATACAGTTTTTCCATACTTCAGTAATGAATTAGAAATGAGGGATAAAGCTCCAGTTTACTGTTTTGCATATGCAAAGTTTTGCTCAGCAAATAATCACCAAGTGCCAAGAACAGGAAATAAAAAAGCTCCTTGAGCTTAGGGTGTTTTCCAGAGCTTCCAAGCGCAGACTTCGCCTTTCATGCATTCAGCACTTTCAGATGGTTTTAAGTGTCCATCTGAATTAAAGATGTACAATAAAAAGAAAGAAGTAAACTTTCTCTAAGCCCCATTCTAAGAAGCATCTACTGGTTCAAATACTATTCTAATTTTTATGCAAAATGAGGGTGCCGAATCATTTCCAAAAGCTGCTTAGTGCTTTTCAGATACATAAAGAGCCCAGCTAGAGTATGTTCTACATTAGGGTTCCAAATACGTATACAAATTTGGCCTGTCATTGCACTGTTTTTCTTCCACAAAGGGAAATCTGAGAAAAAGGTTTTTTAATTGGGTAATTTAGCAAACAAAAGCTGTTCAGTTGCATTTATATTATAAACAGGGAAGTCTCATCTTTTTTTTTTTTTTTTTTCCATACAACTAAAATGTTGGGAGGTTTGCATTTTTCTACTGCTACACAAAACTTAGATGCAGAAATTTTACATTTTAATAATTTTGCTAAGTATATTCAGTACATGCCTCAAACATAAATGCTTATTTTTCTTACCCGACCCTGTTTCTCTTCTGTCAACATTCTCACCGGGATTTTGGCACTGTGTTTGTGAAGTAACGTTTGTGTTTTCCACTAAGCCTGGCAGTTTCTCTTTTGAAAGGAAAGGCTCCTTGGAGGCTGAAGTCCATACAGCTTGACCTCTTATTTGATTTACTCTTGAACAAGAACTGAGGTCTAAAAAATTTACATATACTGGAGTTTTCTCAGCTTTTTTATCTGAGGCTGAAAGATCAAAAGATGACCTTCCACTTATGTTTACTAAATTTCCAGATGTTCTCATGGGTAAAGAGCATGATTCTTTCAGGTGACCCTCAGCAAACTTCCTTCCTGGAACTGTACCAGTCAGTAAGAGTTTTTTCTCTTTTAACAATGTGTTATTTGTTGAATTATTAATCTCCAGTGAATGTCCATTTTTGATGGAGCATATCTGAATATCATCATTCACTTTTTTAAGTGGAATTAGTTTATCTGTGCTAACAATTGTAACTGCTGGGTTTTGTTTATGAGCAATTATTTCAAGACCATCAGCCTCTGCTGGAGATATGGCTCCAGCATTCAACGTACATGTGTTTGTAGTATTCCCTGTTCGTTCAGTACTGTCTTGTTCAGGTTGCTTGCTGCACATGTCATCCACATTTATTGCTTTTTCTATTTTTGGGAGGCATAAATTGAAAGTATGTAAGAGAGACATGTTATTACTGTGTTCTTTTGTGGCATCATCACCCCTTACATTTTCACAATAAACAGTTGGAACATTCAGTACATCAGGACTCCTCAGTATACCATTCTTGGTTTTGTGTCTGGTATTGTCTTCATAATTCTTGTCTTCAGCATCTACGTATGTCTGTTTAAAAGGAAATTTATTTACATGCAAACCACTTGGATTTAACAAGATTTTTTCTGTTTGATGTAATCCATTGCCTATGTGATTGTCACTGTCCAGCAACCTAGATTTTTGGTATTCAGTTTGAGAATTTTCCTTAATATAAGATGGGATACCAAAACTTAATTCCTTAGCTTGATGATTATCTGTACTTCTCTCATACACAGCATTCCTGATGCAAAGAACTGCTTCAGACTCAGTTTTGGGTGCTTCAGGTGTAAGGGTACTTTTGTTGTTTTGTACAGCATTTGGGTTTACATCTGCCTTAGTACAAATTGATTCATCTGTAGTAATGCACAATTCTTGCTTGCTAGGGTCAGTCTCCTGACTTCCATTTTTCTTGAAGGCTTCTACAGCATCAACACTGTTTAAGATGACTTTTCTTGTTTGAGTGTAGCATGGCTTAGTGCTGTCCTGGAGCTTTTGTTCTAAATGTGCATTGTTTTCATCCAGGAACATTCTACATGTTGCTCCCAGATTTTCTGCTTCTTTGTGCTCAGTGACATGTATTTCTGAGGTCTGTCCTTGGGTAATTAAATCCTTATCTGTGCAGAGGGTATTCCTGGGAGAAGCCTCCCTTTGCTTTTCTTCATGACGGCTAGCAACATTAATTTCATCCGTAAAACTGTTTTCAAGAACTTGTAAATCTGTTAGAATAAGTGTATTCTCTAGTTGGTGATAGATAACAGAGAGGTTAAGTAATGCTTTATTTTTACAGTTTATGATTTCCAAAGAGATGGACTCAAGATCAGTATCAATATTGATTCTTCTTATCTTTCATTACATACACAAGTCTATCAAAAATGTTGCTGAAGTAACTTGGAAAATATTTATAAACTGCTCAAACAGAAAATATATTAAAAGGGTCATTATGAAATTAACACACACACTTTAAGCAACTATTGTCTGTCTACACAAAATTTAAACCAGTTACTACTGCAGTTTGCCTTTATTTTTGAAAGTGGCATTTTTAGCTAAATGGAAACCAAAACTACTGTTTAAGAGACTATCATCTTCCTACCAAAAGGAGTATGTTGTGACTTGATGGTAGTGGGCAAGTGAGGAATTAAAGCATTCAGTATGAGAAAGGTGTGTTTTCTGAGAGATACAGTCTGAGGCTGTGATCACTGATCTTTTAAAGCAGTCACTATGTTGTTAATAAGCTTTTAAATTTCCACTTAACTGCTACATTTTAGAGACTGAGCATTAGAGACATGGTACATTTCCTGTAGGGGGCTTCAAAAAATGCAGTTACAAAGTGCTTTGTACAGGAAAGTATTATGGTTATCCACATGAACAGACCTTCATTGTTCTGTGCAATGCAATCACTCTGCCTTTTTCCACTGTTATATGGGAAAGTCCTTCACTTTGCTTCCAAACATTTCTATACATATTATAGTTATTCCTAATCCCTATTCCTTTGAACTATCATGCAGAAAGAGTATTGCAATAGCTTGAGGGATCACAGCACATGGATGTTACTTAATGTTCAAGGTCAGCCACTACAAGTACTGTGCTTTCCTTCAGAGCTTTGTGAGTTTAGCATAGATTAGCACTACCGACATCAGGAATTTTACTGTTGCCAGTACAAAACCATTTAATTCATTCTCTTGTCATATACTGTATCTAAACATTTATCCTTTCTTCAACAGTACTACTTATCTCTATTATCCATGTATTGCCATTACTTTGTTCTATCTGCAATTCCTTAGTGCTTAAAGAGGAGTCCATTGTGGTTTTTACTTCAGTTTCTTCATGTCCAAAATCACTGTCTTTTCTTATTACAGACTGCATACACTCATTTTCTTTTTGAATAGCTTGTATTTCACTGTCTTTTGAGTGTTCTTGACCACTCTAGAATAAGAAGGAACAAAAGATCATACATAGAATCACAGAATCATAGAATAGTTAGGGTTGGACAGGACCTTAAGATCAGCTAGTTCCAACCCCTCTGCCATGGGCAGAGACACCTTGCACTAAAACCATGTCAACCAGTATTATATGTCACCCAACGTATTTTAATAATTTACTACAGTCATTGATAAAAATTCAGGACTTAGATTTAAAATTATCTTTACAATTCTGATGGAAAACAAAGACCATTCATGTGAAGTTATACCAAGTTCCTCTAAAAGAAAGAAAAAAACAAAAAACAAAAAACCCCAAACAAATTAATATCCTAGAAGAATAGGAAAGAAATTAGATCCTGCTATGTTACAGTCCACAGAGAAAAGTTATACAGATTGACAGAATTTCTCAGATGAAGGAATGTGTGTTGTGTATGTGCTGACTGGATCACTCCCTTGGTATGCTGGTTGGATTAGTGACCTGCTAAGTAATTACACATGGAAAAAACCTGCATGAGTGCTCTCTGCACTCAAACACATGTGCATACACACACATATTAACACTTTTTTTCCTAACAAGCCACCTAGGATTTTTAACTACATTTCATAGGCAAATAAGGCTTACAATTTTGCAATTCTTGTCAGTCAGTTCCTCTTTCCCTTCCAGAAGGCTTTTTAACCTGAATTTGAGTCACATTCGAGCGAGTATAAGTTTGAAAGATGCATTTACTTAAGGTTTAAGTCACTGGTCTACTCCTGTATTTGTCTTTAGTTTTGAAAGCTGCATTCAATAAAGTTCTGTGAAAACTAGGAGCTGAATAATGAAGAAACACCCTAATAAAACCACACACATATTAAAAAGAAATAAAGGAAAGGAAGATGCATCCTTTATGATCACCAACTGCTTGGCAGCTGAAGGCAGGAGCATGTGCTGGCTCTTGCCCTAGAGAGAGAGTATGAAAGTAGGTAGATGTGGAAGGGAGCAGGGGTATTGCTTGGTTCATAAAAGACGTGAGAAAAAGCTGAAGATACTTAGGTAACTGGAGGCGTTGCAAAAGGAAGACTGGGATGTGGGAGGGAGTTACAAGCGCTGTGCTTGAGCATCGGATGTGTGGGAAGGACACTGCAAAATGGAAGGAGGCACGTAGACATACTGATTAAAAAATGGGATTATTGCACTGGTGGCATAGTAGATGATGTAGAATACAAATCTGCAGGAAATAGTTTTTTACAGGTCACAGAAACATCCTGATGCTCCCAGCTTTGCTGGTTTGGGGGAGGGAGGAGTCATGGTGAGTGGAGGAAGGTCCTAAAAACAGTTTTCCCCTGCCAAATACTCCACCTTCAATTTGAAGTTTCAATTGAAAATTCTCTTTCTCATGATTTATCATCATCCTCCCTGATGTTCTGATTAAGAAATTGTACATATTACATCTTTTTTGTTTTCTAAGTTTTCAATGAGTTCATTTTGCTTCTTGGCTACATACATCCTATTTTCAATCTTTTCTTCTCAAATATAAATACCAGAATTTTCCTCTGTCATGAAAACAGTAATTATTTCATAATCTCTTGCTTCTAGAAGCTGTTTCTTTAGACAAAAGTCACAATATATGTGCATGCTACTCTTTTGCGCAGGTACAAAACAGCTACTACGGTGGCACTTACCACATATCTTGGTACAGGCTGCACTGCTGAATGCACCTGGAAAAAAAAAACCCAAACATGAAAAAGCGTTGTTAAAAAGACAGAAAGGTTACAGTTACATGATTCCTTTCTAGATTTTGAAACTAGGGTCGAATAACCTTAGTTTCCATTAACTTCAGAGGGGTGTTCACAGTATCACAGTATGCTAGAGATTGGAAGGGACCTCAAAAGATCATCTAGTCCAATCCCCCTGCCGGAGCAGGAACACCTAGATAATGTTACACAGGAATGTGTCCAGGCGAGTTTTGAATGTCTCCATCCAGTGGGAAGGAGACTCCACAACCTCCCTGGGCAGCCTGTTCCAGTGCTCTGTCACCCTCACTGAGAAGAAGTTTCTTCTCAAGTTTAAGTGGAACCTCTTGTGTTCCAGTTTGTACCCATTACCCCTTGTCCTATCATTGTTTGCCACCAAGTAGAGCCTGGCTCCATCCTCGTGACACTCCCCCTTTATATATTTATATACACTAATAAGGTCACCCCTCAGTCTCCTCTTCTCCAAACTATAGAGACCCAGCTCCCTCAGTCTTTCCTCATAAGGGAGATGCTCCACTCCCTTAATCATCTTCGTTGCCCTGCGCTGGACTCTCTCCAGCAGCTCCCTGTCCTTCTTGAACTGAGGGGCCCAGAACTGGACACAATATTCCAGATGCGGTCTCATCAGGGCAGAGTAGAGGGGAAGGAGGACCTCTCTCGACCTACTAACCACCCCCCTTCTAATACACCACAGGATGCCACTGGCCTTCTTGGCCACAAGGGCACAGTGTTGGCTCATGGTCATCCTGTTGTCCACTAGGACCCCCAGGTCCCTCTCCCCTACACTGCTCTCTAACAGGTCGTTCCCCAACCTATACTGGAACCTGGGGTTGTTCCTGCCCAGATGCAGGACTCTACACTTTCCCTTGTTGTATTTCATCAAGTTATTCCCTGCCCAACTCTCCAGCCTGTCCAGGTCTCGCTGGATGGCAGCACAGCCTTCTGGCGTGTCAGCCACTCCTCCCAGCTTAGTGTCATCAGCAAACTTGCTGAGGGTACACTCAATTCCCTCATCTAAATCATTGATGAATATATTAAATAATACCGGTCCCAGTACTGACCCTTGAGGCACTCCACTAGTTACAGGCCTCCAACTAGACTCAGCCCCATAGACTACAACTCTCTGGCTTCTCTCCTTCAGCCAGTTCACAGTCCACCTCACTACCTGATCATCCAGACCACACTTCCTCAATTTAGCTGTGAGGATGCTGTGGGAAACTGTGTCAAATGCTTTGCTGAAGTCAAGGTAGACCACATCCACCGCTCTGCCATCATACATCCACCGTGTTATTTCCTCATAAAAGGCTAAGAGATTGGTTAAGCATGAATTCCCCTTGGTGAAGCCATGTTGACTGCCCCTCAGAACCCTCTTATCCTTGATATGCCTTAAGACGGCACCAAGGATAAGGTGTTCCATCACTTTCCCAGGGATGGAGGTGAGGCTGACCGGTCTATAGTTACTCGGGTCCTCCTTCTTGCCCCTTTTGAAGACTGGAGTGACATTTGCTTTCCTCCAGTCCTCAGGCACCTCTCCCGTTTCCCAAGACTTGGTAAAGATGATGGCGAGTGGTCTAGCAATGACTTCCGCCAGTTCCCTGAGCACCCGCGGGTGCATCCCATCTGGACCCATGGATTTATGGATGTCCAGATTGCTCAACTGGTCTCTAACCCATTCCTCATCGACTAAGGCAAACCGCTCCGTTGACCTGACTTCATCTAAGGTCTCAGGGGTACAGGGCTCTTCAGGACTGCCTGCAGCAGAGTAGACAGAGACAAAGAAGGCATTCAGTAACTCTGCCATCTCTGTATCTTCTGTCACCAGGGCACCCATCCCGTTCATCAGTGGGCCTACATTGCCTCTGGTGTTAGTTTTATCTGCCATGTATTTGAAAAAGCTCTTTTTGCTGTCCTTGACCCTTCTCGCCAGGTTTAATTCTAAGGAGGCCTTAGTCATCCTAGCTGCCTTCCTACATCCTCTAGCAGCAGCCTTATATTCCTCCCAAGTGGCCAGCCCCTCCTTCCATGACCTGTAAACTCTCCTCTTCCACTTGAGCATACCCAGCAATTCCCTATTTAGCCACGCAGGTCTCCTGGCCCTCTTCCTTGACTTCCTAAAGTTCAGCCCTTCAAAAATAGATCAGTGCATAAACTAAGATGCCTTTATATCAAAACTATTAAACCGGATTCTTTTTCTTTTTTTTTCCCTGAGATTTAGTAAAATCTAACTAAGCAACGTACATAAACCTAAGATAACGCTTCCCTCAACAGAGTATTTCATACTATGAAATTCAAAACCTCCTCAAAACCAGATCTCCCTGTACATACACACACAAAAGAATGACAAACATAGAATCATAGAATAGTTAGGGCTGGAAAGGACCATAAGATCGTTTAGTTCCAACCCCCCTACCATGAGCAGGGACACCTCACACTAAACCATGTCACCCAAGGCTCTGTCCAACCTGGCCTTGAACACCACCAGGGATAGAACATTCACAACTTCCTTGGGCAAGCCATTCCAGTGCCTCACCACCCTAACAGGAAAGAATTTTTTCCTTATATCCAATCTAAACATCCCCTGTTTAAATTTTAACCCATTACCCCTTGTCCTATCACTACAGTGCATAGTGAAGAGTCCATCTCCAGCATCCTTATAGGCGCCCTTCGGATACTGGAAGGCTGCTATGAGGTCTCCATGCAGCCTTCTCTTCCCCAGGCTGAACAGCCCCAACTTTCTCAGCCTGTCTTCATACGGGACGTGCTCCAGTCCCCTGATCATCCTCGTGGCCCTCCTCTGCACTTGTTCCAACAGTTCCATCTCCTTTTCATATTGAGAACACCAGAACTGCACACAATACTCCAAGTGAGGTCTCACAAAAGCAGAGTAGAGGGGCAGGATCACCTCCTTCGACCTGCTGGTTACGCTCCTTTTGATGTGGACCAGAATATAATTGGCTTTCTGGGCTGTGAGTGCACACTGCCGGCTCATGTTAAGTTTTTCATAGACCAACACCCCCAGGTCCTTCTCCGCAGGGCTGCTCTGAATCTCTTCTCTGCCTAACCTGTAGCTGTGCCTGGGATTGCTCTGACCCAGGTGTAGGACCTTGCACTTGGCATGGTTAAACTTCATAAGGTTGGCATCAGGCCACCTCACAAGCATGTCAAGGTCCCTCTGGATAGCATTCCTTCCCTCCAGCACTAGGTGTAGCCCTATTCTCTACTTGGTGCATGGCTGTATTAAAAAATTAAACTAAGCGTGAAACATAGTAAAGTTAAACTAAATTGCAGTTTGAGCCTGTAATGAGGTCTGACATGGTACCTTTCTTTAAAAAAAGGCCTTTTATTTAATTAGTATTCCACAGGTTACCAGTATGAGGAAGTTCACGTACATTCTATATGTCATGCGCCACAAATACTTGCAGGGATTTCAGATTATACTAGGTGTAAAAATAATTATGGGCATATTTCTTTGCAACACTTTGAGCCACAGTCAAGATTTGCATCACGGCAAACACCTTTCCCTTTTATGTTTTACTAGACACTGACTCATTACTCATACAAAGTGAAATTCCACAAATTAGAATAATCAGTATGACCTGCTACAGCTCCTGTAATTTCTTGGCAGTTCCACTGGAGATTTGACTCAGTCTAAGCTGACCAGCTTTTGAAATCTTTTTTTTTTGCATTTATGAGCATAAGCTTTAAGCCTAATTATTTTCAAACATATAGGGTTATCTGTAAGCACAAGTACTATTTATCATGAACAACTGATTGTGTGTATTGGTTCTGCATCCTAAACATAATTTGTATTTTTTTCCTTCAAAGAAATTATGATTTTTAAAAACTATATGATTTACAATTACAATTATACCTTGTAGAGTTCAGATATTCTTTGGTCGGATGAGGACTAATTTCAAATATAATTTCCATTGCATTATTAAGCTCATACCAGCAGATATGTACATGTGTATATTCATGCATATATTAATGTGTATATATATGTGTATGAGCCATAGGCATACATACATGCATTGTAAAGGTTTGTCATTTTACTGAAAATTCATAGATACTTCTAAAAATAATTAAAAAAAAATCTGCCTTTACAGTCCTAGTTCTTCCTATTTTCCTAATACTGGAAGAAAAATCATACACATGCAAAATAAGTTTTCCCTTTTTGAAGGATAATTCATTATTTGGATGTAAAAACTAACGGGAAAAATGATATAACCAACAGAACAACAGAATACACTCAACGAGCAGGGAAAGTTTCATGGCTTATGATCCTTCCCATTTTATCAATCTTACAAAAGACTGGAATATAATTTGCAATCCAATTTAAGTAATGGGTAACAAGTAGCTGCAGAGCTACACTCTTCCTTTTGCTCCAAAAGACCATCATCATGTGCATAACTACTTATTGACTTCTCAGATATGCTCTGAATATAGAGCTGAACATGGCTCTGGTTCACCCAGCAATGCAAGCTCAGCTCTAGTTCAACTTGCGCTGTATAAAGCTGTCTTTTATGTCCTGCGTTCATGATTCTTAAAGATGCTAAATGAAATAAAGGTTGGGGTTTTTATTAAACTAAAACTGAAAAACTTTGCTAAACTTTGCTATATATAAATATATGTAATTATCTTTGTCAAAGGAAGCTCAGTGAACATGACAGCCAGATTAGAAAAAAATGTCTCTCATTCTCTAATACTTTTATAAGAAATGGAAAGTACTGCAGCTATTAGAGACAGTTACCTGCAGACTGTCCACTTGCTCAGAATGCTGATTTCCCTTAGGAGGATGAGAGTCTTCAAGATGTCTATGAACTCCCTTAAGGGAATTCAGCTCATTTTTAATAGTGTCTATTTCTCTTCTCATGTTTTCCTCCTGTAATGACAGGGTACACAGAGCACACAAACACAGATCTTACACTCATGTTCACATACATAAAACAGTATTTTACAGGGGTATCAACAGCTTAGCAAATTAAAGTAAATCCTTAAAAGAAAGTAAGATGATGCGGAATTTCTTTGTACAGAGATAATTTTGAGAACTTGCATTCAAACCAAAATTTAACCACATTTCCACTACAGACACTATCCATTTATTAACGCGTTTTTTTCCCCACCATTTACTTCAAGTAGCAATATTTAAAAAAACTGAGATTTATATTTGTAGCTTTTTTTGGGTTTGGCTCAAAGATAAACATCCTCACCAGCATTCAGTCTGTACTTACATTGTCAAGAAACTATAACAGCAAATAATCTACTTGGCACTTCTGTAAACAGCCTCAAGTATCCAATGCTCCTTCAGTGAGTACACCACAACTGAATTTTTGTATTTAGTAAAAAAAGGATGGTCAAAAATATAAGTTGTAAAAAAAGAATGGAAAGGCAATTTTACAGAAATATCTTCACTTAATTTACAAGTATTTCCAGAGCAGTATATCATGTTAGCCATGATGACACTGTAAGGTAGTAAGAGACCAAATTTCTAGTTATCCATAGCAGTAATATAGAGGTTGGGAGGAATAAATAAACCTTCTAAAGAATAGTTGCAAACATTCCTGAGAAATAAGCAGGGCCAATTCCCATGTCTATATAGGAAACTATTGGTATAAGACTCTCCTAGGAACTGGGGAGATCAAATCTTCCCAGGGCAATGAGCATCTGAACAGTTCAGCTATTTTGTAGTCTCCTGGTTGCAGTCATCTCCATAGCGGCTGCACTCAAAAGAATTAGCTTTAGGATTACAAGGACAAATTTGCATTATTTCCTCACAGACTCCCTAACACTCTACCTAACAAATTCAAAACCTTTCTGGCAGTAGGTGCCAAGTACATGGAGATTGAAAAAAAAATGATTATTAAACAAATGCTGTTTAGAGTCTGGTTTCCACACACTAAGTAGATCTCACTGAAGGTGAATTAATCTTTCTTACTTATAAACATGCATTTATTATTTCAGACAGTTTTTACAGCTACAATATTTTGCTAATTATTTTGGATTAAATAATTACAGCAGTATTCTTTAGAAGTAATGTAGTAGAAGAAAGGACAGCAAATCTTGAAGACAAATTATTGTTTAGGTGAACACGGGTGAATTCACTGAGACATACAGGATTTTACCTTTTCTTATCCACTTTCACCTCACATTCCACATGGAATAATTCCTGTCAAATCAGGGCCTCTGCTTTAATGCAAGCCTTCATTACCTCTACCCTATTCATTTTTAGGTGGTTCTTCTGTGTTTTTTTTCCCTAGGCATATGGACCTTCAGGAATACTTTTATCCTGTGTCAGTCTATATGGGTTTACATTCATTTTTTACTGTAAGACTGTTTACAGCTTTTCAGGGTACAAGAGGGCAGCCTGGTATGCTGGTATTCTCTGGATAAGTTGTGTAAAAAATTGCAAGTTTCCTGAAAAATACATAAAATTCAATGTAAATTAAACCTGTATCAGCTTCCACGCCTAGGTAATGGCAAGTGTGTAACTGGAATATTTAAGTGCTACAGGTAACACCTAATACCCTGGCTCTTGCTTTATAGACTGAAGGAAGTGCACTGACCTTTTAAAGTACAGAAGTCAACATTTCTCCTACATCTACCTTTAAAAAAATATTCATTTTTAAAAGAGCCTGCATTACTGGAAAAGAACTAGCTGTTTTTATTGTATTATTTCTGCAATATTTTCTTGGCTTTTAGGAATTACCTGAAATGCTTGATGACTATTTCAAAAACCTCTTAATACTCTATTATTTAATTTAATAAACCTACATCTTTTTTCCAAGTTCTTAGTGCTTTCTCATGCTCATTCTGAAGATTAAGGAACTTTTCTTCATTTTCCTTTGCCTTCTGCCTTTGCAGCTCATTATCTCTTTCAAGGGTCTGCAATAAAATTAATTATCCAAAAAATAATCAATACCACATTAATGAATTTTGATGTGTTTTATGTTGCTTGGACCTTTGCTTCTAACATGCTGGAAGTGCCGTACAGATCAGTGATACTGTGCTATCTCAACAATAATTTTCATAAATTAACAGAAAGGTGTTTATAGTTTAGCTAACAGGAAACAGGGGGAGGTTATGAAAAAAGAAACGGCTATAAAAGGGTATAAAACCACTTGCCATTATTCAGTTTCACTGCATAAGTTTTAATGCGTTGAAAAAGTAATATAAAGTCCAAAGATGAAAAATATGAAGTGTAGCACAATCTAGACCCATTGTACTTAAAGAAAACTCTATATTTAAAGAAAATATTTCTATTTTTCTAATCAGTTTTTCTATCCTGAATTGTTTATTAACCTATCTTATAAACTGTATAAGCTTTAAATTCTAAAACATATCTCCTGGAACATAAAATATATGTCTGATTATCCTTTAATTTATTTCTATTAGATCACTGAGATAGGAGTGCATTAAAAGAACAGTAATGCTAAGTTTTATACTATTATAACTGCACTTGCAACATTTTTTGGTTAATTCTTTCAGCCTGACTGTGCTTAATCAAAGCAGCCTCCTGTAAATCAACAGTAACCACACACACCTCAGGTACTGTTGGAATTTTTATCCTATCACATTTTTATAGTAAAAAATATGGAAGATAAAGGACTTGCTGAATCCATTATCTACTATATAGATGGCACAAATATATTTGATAATGTAAACATAACTTCAATGCATGCAGCTGTATGACCAGCTACATATTTATGACTGCTGAGCTGCTTTGAAAGTCCATTTGAAAAATGTTAAGTTAGGGAGGCAATACTCCAAAGCAATTCCTTTTTTCTTAATCTTCTAACTAAAAATGAGTCTACTTGTTGATTCACTTAGCATCAATTTTAAAATGCCTATGTTAATTTAACCTCACTATTAACACAAATATATTTTACAGGTATTAATGCTAGGAAAATACAGACTACCTTAAATTTTTATAACCATGGAAGAAGTTGTGCATAAAAATATAATGGATCTTCTCTGACAGATTATATTATTTGAAAGATGAGACAATTCAACAATACATTGAATTATCATCAACTGAATAATCGCACTCTGATGTAGCACCTTTCATCCAACTCTATAAATTAGGAGTCCAAGTCCGCTTCTCTCTGATAAAGCTGCTCTAACTTCAAGGACACTTTTATTTGTATCTCAAATGCAACCTCCTCTGAGATGGAATATAATAGTTATTCACAGCACAGCTCTTCAGGCAAAGTGTTAGGAGTAGCAGAGTAAAACTCTCTGTAAAAATACATGCAAGCCAATTGTACAGCAAGGGGAATATCTGAATTTCTTGCATTCTCAAGTACTCTATCATCTACTAAAGAACTGTAACTTGTTTTTCTGGACTCCTAAGGGCATTGGTATCCTAGCATTAAGTATGCATAGATAGACTGAGAGAGAACAGGATGATCCTTCCTGAATATTACCTTGGAAGTTTAAATATTCTGTCATCTCAAGCTTAAATTAAGCTGCAATTTTTTTGTGAGTATAGGAATAAAAATATTTCCATGGGACTATACAATTACTCCTTCCAGTTTTCTATTATTCTGAGGAAACTTTTTCTTAATGAGCAAGGTCCAAAAATTTAACAGGGATGTAAGATACAGCATGAAGATAATACATAACCTTCAGACCCCATTCATCATACTGCAGTTCTAGAATCAATAAAGGCAAAAGCAATAGCTCTCAAATTGGCAGGAAAGTGAGTAGACCCTTCAAGTTATATATTCATCTCCATATTTTATAAGTTCCATCTGTTGCTATAAAACAACGACACTGCAAAATAAGCAGTTAATCTCTCATTCCCTTGGAATATCCCAGTAAGTGTATTGACCTGTCAGCCAAATGAGTAGCTATAAAAAGCAATGGTATTTTATGACTAGTGCTTAAACAGAAAGACAAACATTTCTGACAAATCAAAATAACCCCATGAGCTCATATGGAAAGAACATGTGTCATTCACTCTTATTGCATTGTATTTACATCAAGTGTTTAAGGGAATCACTGCATTTTATCATGTATTCACTGGGTTTAAACAAAAAACTTCTATTAAAATATCTACACTTTCATGTTTCCAGATGTGATCTCTTGAAAGTTTATCGCTCGTATCTGCTTACATAAATGTTATGAATCCCTAATTCCCATTCTCAAGTGAGAATTTCTTGGTCTTGAGAACGCACAGAATGCTCTCAAAACTCAGCTGAGATCAAATCTTAGCTGATCTTAAGTGCCATGGTGAAGACTAAGAAGGAACATTTACATCAAATTAAGTACTGAGGAGTCCTCATATAGTCAACAGAGCTTTCAAATATTAGATCAAGAGCCTCTTATAGATACCCATGTCTTCCAAAACCAATTTCATCTGAAGTATTAATGCCTACAAGGAGTTATGTTGGAAGGCTACACTGAAGCTTTGGTGACTAGAAATAGTTTGTCCTGTAGTTAGAATAATAAGAAAATATTAATACCTTCCCAATGTCTAATACAAGCAGGACCCAAATCAAAGCAGGCTGTCTAATCAGAATTAGTCTAACTGCAATCAGAAATCCGTTGTTGGCCTGTACAGGCTGCAAAACAGAGACATGTACTCAGTCCATACCTTAACAACAAGAAAACGACCTACACCTCTCTTACACTTGTAGATGTTTATGTGGAGTCTTCAAAGACAAGATCCACACATGCCATTTACAGTTTCAACTGGAGCTTTAAGGCATATAGTTTATCTGAGATGGGAAACAATAGCTCAAACTGCCTACTTCTATTAAAAGACAAAGGCTTATGTGAAGTGAATCTATTTTCAATTTAGCATAGAAGCATTTATTTAGAAACAAAGTATACATGCACAAGGAAGTTTAATTTGAAATTAACTGAGATACTAGTTCAAAACATTGACCTCACAGGCCAAGCAAAGAGTGAAATAGTTGTGGTTATGTATGGACAAAAAACAGTAAATATTAATTATTAATAGTCCGATTAATGGTTGTAGCTGAACTCTGCATGGCATATTTGACCAGAACAGACATGACTTTAATCTTCAGTGCACTGTGGGCCGGTTTGGCTGCTAGTGTAACTTAGAATCAAAACTGTTCTGAGCCACTTTTACACCCCCAAAGAAGAACTGAGAAGTGCTGCAACTCCAGATCCTTCAGCATGACTACTTATCACTTCTAGCATAAATGTGACACCAGACAACAGAGCAAGAAATGGCTAAGGATACGCTCTTTCTTAGGCTCTCTGCTCTAATAAAACTGGGGACAAGCTCTGAAGAAGATCTGAAATTTAAAGTATTTTCCAGAAAATAAATTCATACCTACATGAAAATTATAAGAAACAAAAGTCAAAATCATTTGATTTCAAAATACTTGAAAGCAACCACCAGTATGTTCTGGTTTTACCCTCCAGAAGTGTCTCATAAGAATGGCAATCATGATTTACTTCAGGGGCAGAAAACTGAAAGAGGGAAACTATAGCCTGTGCTTCAAGGTTTGTGCTGACAGTTAAGGAGCTGAGGGAGCATTGGAAGTGAGGTCAAAAGTTCTGAAAAGCATACAGATGTCTTTAACAGCCCTGGACTTAAAAATAGCAGCTTGTCTAATCAAGAAAAATCTGACCTTATATTCTTCTTTCAGTGCATTTAATTCACTTTCCATTCTCACATTCCTTTGTGTTACTCGCTGAAGCACCTCCTGCACGCACTGTAGAGAGCTGAGAATTTCCTTATTAATAAAAACGAATTAGGACATATTGAATGAGATTTTGTTCCCAAAGTTTAAGTATTAGATCATTTATGTTTTTTGGATTAACATTTATATTTTATTCTGCCAGTGTTGGGGAAGGGCTAATAGGAAGAAATCGGAACAACTTGAGGTTTTTCTGGCCTTGGAGAAGATAATATTATAACTTACTCTTTTTCAGAGAATTTTCTTATTAAATGGTTGGAACGGAGAGAGTAATTTTATATTAAACGCTACAAAACACATTTGCAGACATTCAAAGATGGAGGGAACTACCTAGCCAAGCCAACCTCTACTCCGTAACGAACAGATCAGGAACTAGTAAAAGAAGGCCTGCAGAGAAAACAACTAAGTTTCAGGCAGAAGACACTCTTAAATGTGCTCAGTTGCTTCAAAATATATTGAGTGTGGAACATATTATTAAGCAAAAGTACTTTCATATACCTGCAAAGAGCTTTTCAGTTTATCTGCTTTTGGTTCTACTGTGTACACAGATACAGCTGTCTACTAAAAATAATGATCATTATTTTGGGTGTACTCTCATTCCTTTTCTTGCATGTATACTTACATAGACATATATAACGTTTTTGCACTGAAGCTTAATTTATCTTTAGCTCCATTTTACATCTAGAAAACTGAACCACAGAGACATGGAACAGCTTATCCAGTGTCATCTGACAGGTTGGTGGCAGAGTTGGCTGTGTCTTTTCAACCTAGTGCAGTGTTCACCAGATGAGAAGCAATTGCTTCTCTACATACAGCTCAGTATAAATCAGCTATAATTTAAATAGTATGTTCAGCTTCAGTCCAAGAACCATTAAAACCAACACCTTCATTTAATCCAGATAGTGAGTTTGTATCACTCTAATACAGAAATCCAGGTCTTCTTGCCCAAGTTCTTGGAGAAAACATGAAATTCATCACTATATTAGGGCCCTCCCCAGATTTATACCAAACCCCTCTATATGTTAAAACCAACCAACCCCTAGCAATTCCCACAGAACAAAACAGAGAAACAAAATAGAGACCTTCTCTTAGATAATACATATCAAACATGCATATGAATTTTGTATAAGCATCTCCATATAAAGGCTTTTAGTGCATTCAGGGCTGTAGGAGTAATGAGACCTAAATCTCTTTCTTGTTTCCTCCTGTGTTTATTAGCAAATATTTTTAAAAAGCAAATTCAAAACGCAAACAGGCTTGTACAGATTGCAAGAGTACTGTTGGATTAGCCTTTGGTGAGTGCTCAGTGGGTACACTAACCTACTGCTTTTGACACTCCCTGAGAACAGGAACAACACGCTTCTCTGATATGTCAGGTTTAATGCACTGCAGAATGAAAATGCTGCAACCGTTTAAGAAAAAACACAACCAAGTGCTTTTGCCAAGAAAGATTGGACCATGTGATTCTAGAGGTCTCTGATTCTATGATTAATCACCCTTTTTATGCTTAATATTCTGCAAAGCAGCATAGTGTGCTGGTATTACAGGAAACTGGTAGGTTTTCGGCGTTTTTTTTTTACTATGTTTGATACTGGACTCCATGTACCTTGGTTTGAATACTTGGATTTGCTCTGGAACATACCTGAGTTTGTGACAGAAGACAGTCTTAACTCTGTTCAGTTATGTATATGTGTAGCTTAATATTCTATAAGTGTATGTTCTTACGAATGCAACACGTTTCCTTTATAGACGTTTTCTTTATAGATGACTGATACATGATTCCAATTTTACCCGATTTTAATGCCAGTAGTATTAAACTGTTGGCAACCAGAAAGCAGAACAGCAAGGATGTTATGCAAACATTATTATTTATTTGTACCGAACTGGTATGTAAACTACTATTTCACGAGTGTACCAAATTCCTCCCATCTGATTTTAAAAACAAAAGTTAAGACTTGGAATAAAGTGTGAAACAATGGATTTTGTTCTGGTAAAACACTTTATAAAAACTGAAAATTAAGATTCAATTTCTGTTATGTTATTAAAATCTTTCCAAAGAGTCAACAACTGAATTTAGTTTTAGTAGCTTAGTATAAGAATTTAAGAAACCTGAATATGAAATATAGCACATATATTCCTAAGCGATTTTTAAAAAGCAAAGCTGTATTAACTCACCAGCTTTTCTTCTTTAATGTGAGTGTTTTCTTCCTGAATTTTTTTACTAACTTCTGTCTCCTTAAAAAAAGGGCATGAAGAACAGTAAGAGGTGTTTTAAATTACTATGTCCTTTAGTAATAGCGTATTAACATGATATTGTGAACCATCATGAAGCTATTTAAAGAAACCGAATTATTTTGAAGAGTCTAATTGATTTTTGTAAACTATAAAATTATATTTATAGAATGTTTACTTCCCCAAAAAACATTGTTCTGGAAATACTCAGTTATATTGTCTATGCAATTAGGAGAAAGGAATCACTTAATCTATATATATCAGAGAGAGCACTACCATAACGTTTGCCTAAGTAAGAACAGAAAATATTCACAAAAAAAAAAAATTTGTTTAAACTCCAAAATACCATTTTGATTTTTTGTTGCAGTTCTTGAAACTGTTTTTCCTTTGCTGCAAGATTGATGTTTTCTTCTGCCACCCTGTACTGAGATGTGACCTTGGACCTTATCAGGTCTGTAGTTACTTTCTTCAGTTCCTTAACACAGGAAACACATATAAATAGTTCATCCAGCATAGGCATTGCAATTCAAAACAAAGACAAATCTTTTAAACTATCCTGAGTCATACCCTACTTTTAAATAATGTATAGAAGCACCAGAATGAATTAGAGGATCTGAAATCTGTGAGGCTGACTTGCTGAATTTTAAACTTGTTACACGCAGCTAGGTGTTTATTTTCAGAGGTAAAATATTATCGTGCCAATTATGATACTTCAGCATTTTGTTATTTTCTCTTCCAAGAAGTATATTAGAAGAGAAGATCAGGTTGATATTGGTAAAACCTCTTACAGCGTGATTCACAATAGAAATAAAGTATCTATTATAACTCCTGTGCACATTCCTGGGAATTAGGAGGGGAAAAAGGAAGAACAGTGACTATCTGGTAAAAACAGGAACTGGCTATAAATTTGGAGGATCTTTGTTTTTCCTGAAACATTAATTACTTAATCTCAGGAGAATGGTAAATTAATTTTATGTTAGAGGCTTCTACAACATGATTTTCTATCTAAAATCTGCTTTTGATTTTATAGTTTTCATTATCTTTTAAATATCCTGCCCCCCCTCCCTCTATTTTTAATCTGTTTTTTGTCCAGTTTATTCCGAGCTCCTACTGCAGCAAATAAACAGCAAAGGCTTTGATCTCATTAAATTACAACTTATAGTTCCTGGAGTCATAAATATTGTGCCCTGTTCTCCCCCACCCCTTCCATTCTGGTACAAGGTAGTCTGTTTAATATCGCTCTCTCCTTGAGCGCTCTGACGTTTACTCAGACAAATAGCAGAGCTTATGAATGCTGTCCACAGATAGTATCAAGAATTCTTCATGATGCCATAGTGGTGAACCAAGCATTCAGAATGGTAATAGTTTTATCTAACAACTAAGTTTGGGTTTGGTCTGTTTAACTTTTCTTCACAAAACTGGAATTCCATCTTATCACAGACCAGTGGTTTAACTGTTCTGGACAAAATCATATAACAGTACAAAAGAAAAAAGGGAAGATTATGTTGTAGCTGAAATTCACAAATGCAATGTTTTGCAGAAAATACAAGTAAAGGTACTAAGTTGAAATAATTTTTTTTTTTTTTGCTAGAGCTGTATTTCTCATGTATTTTAGCCATAAATAAATCTAGATTAATCTAGCAAGTACTAAGTGTAATTACAGAATCAATTCTAGAAACCAAAGACAGCCATACATTAGAATGATGATATTCTGTAAGCTAGTAAGGCTTCTTCCACCTTTTCAATAAAAACATCTATTACTTGTACTGTTTTTATTAGAAGGCTCTGTAATGAAAGAGAGTGGCAGAAGGTGCAAGCAGTTTTAGCTTTATAAAAGTAAAAAGGTGCACTGTGCCCATCTTTACAGAGAGCCAGGTTAACAGTATGCAGAACACAGCTAAAAGGTCGTGTGCTACATGAACAGGTGCAAAAGCCTGCTATGAATCTGATACTATACATTTCCTAAAACTTAGAGTTTACTGTGTGCTTAAAAACCTTACTACTTATTTTGACACAGGAAAAGAACAAGTCGTACTAAGTAAATCATGCCCTTGAGATAGAAAATATGACTGGACTTTTTTCTTTGTGTATCGCAGGTGAATGCATATAATTCATCTGGAACCAAACCAACAACCAACAAAACCCAACACAAACCTGAAAAGAAGAAACACAAATCAAATCACCAAAAATCATGGGAAAGCACAAGCTGTGGAGCTGCAAAAATAAAAGAATTTTATACATACAAATGTGTATTTTCTTATACTCTGAAATAAAAAAATAATAATAATAATCCTCAGAGTTTTTGCCTTTTTTTTTTCTTTAGTAGCTTTCTGTCATTCACAAGATCACCAGTAGCATTCTGAACCCTATAAATTAAATTGAATCTGGAGAATAATTTTATCAGTTTTGGGGGAATGCTAAGAAAGAGTGATAAGGCTTTAAACCTGTTCTTTGATGTGTTGTTCAGTCAACGCTTAGGGACATTGTTTCAGAAACACTTCAAGCCAGCAAAAGTCAAATGTCAAAGAAGAAATGGTCTTGCTCCTTCAATGTCTTTTCCTTTTGCCAGCTGATCTAAGCTAAAACTACCCACTTTTTTGATAAAATATAGTTTTGATCAATTCAAAATTTTCATTCTGCTTTCTCTCAAGGCTACACAAATCCACATGCCAGCATGAAGAGGAGTTACAGGACTGCAAAAGCAACCAGCACAGGTAGATGTAACCACTTCCGAAGACAGTGCTGATACCTTACACAGACTTTAACTGTACCCAAAATTATATCTTATTACCCTCTTCCTAGATCAGTATAACTCTCTTGTACTCTTTCAGGCCTTGAGCTGCTCTTTTAAGCAGCAGAATAAAGGACACCTTTTTCTTGGCCAGATCTAATTTTCACAGTGGTTGAAAAGAATCCTACCACATTGAATATGTTCAAATCCTAAAATAAATGTCATTGAAAAGGAAGTTATGCCACAGTCCTTTAAGCTAGGACTTAGGAACTGGACTTTTAAGCAGACAAAGTTAAGAGGAAACTACAAGCTCTCTAAATGACATTTCACAAATGCCGCATGACTAAACCTGTGCAGAATAGACCTCAATTTAACCCAGGTTTTACCGTTGTATGTATTTAACACCCCATCACATACTTGCAATTTCATTAAAAAAGATTAGTTTATTTTTATGCATAAATGTTGAATGGCATTGTCCTGGGTTCAGCAGTAGCAGTCATTTTTCTCGTTTGTGGTAGCTGGTGCAGTGCTGTGTTTTGACTTCCAGCCTGGGAACAGTGCTGGTGAAACCGATGTTTTCGGTTGTTGCTAAGTGATGTTACTCTGACCAAGGACTTTGTGAGGCTCATGCTCTGCCAGGGAGGAGGGGAAGCCGGGAGGAAGCAGAGACGGGACGCCTGACCCAGGCTAGCCAAGGAGGTATTCCATGCCACAGCATGTCATGCCCGGGGTGGGGGGTAACTGCGAGTTACCCGGAAGGACACGGGCTTCTGGGTTGGACTCGTTTCTTGGCCAGTGGTATTGTATTCTCTTCCCTTGTTATTTTCTCTTATCATTGCTGTCATTGGTGGTGATTTGTGTTGTACATTGGTTGCTGGACTGTTCTTGTCTCAACCCATGGGAGTTGCACTCTTTCGATCCTCCTCCCCGTTCCTCTGGGAGCGGGGAAGGGGAGAGCCCCGGGGGGGGGGGGGGGGGGGGGGGGTTGGGCCTCGATTGCTCTCAGCCCGGCACCACTCACTGGGAGTGAGTGAATAAGCTGTCTGGCTAGGGTTTAAACCACGACAGGCATTCACTAACTTCATATTCCCATTAAGAACAAATGTATGAGATCATCCAGGTCTGAGTCAAAGTAATGGCTGTGATAAGAGCTGACAGCCCAATTAAGATTTTAGTACTATAGACAGTCATTGCCACTCCAGCACTGAGGCTATAGAGGAAAGAAGTTTGAACCCACAAGTTGTCAGAGCTGTTAGAGGTCAGCCAAGTCTCCAAGGCAGATTAAACCAATTTTGTAAGTTGTCCCAACTTGTGCTGCAGATATCATGACTTCTTTCAGCTATGTAGCAAGTGAAAACAGCCTGTTAATCCCTCTTCAAAACTCTTCTAAGTATTGAAGTTTTCTCATTGCTTTGTATCTCTCATAGGTCTCTTCAGCTCAGACACATCCCCCAACAAGGGAAAACACTTGACTGCTTTAAGATCACTTTTTCAAGGGTCACTCTAAGTACAAGATAATCACAGTGAAATGAAGCTACCTAAGGGCACTTCTTACTGTGTTCAAGCACTTCTTTTCTCTTGCAGAGTGACCCATAAGATGAGCCTACAGCCCTTCACAAACTGAAGGTGCGCTGAACTAACAAGTGCCATTATAGATACAGTTCAGAAATGCACTCTATCACTATGTAACCTTGCAGAAATGTTTTATAAGCAAACTGTCAAAATAGAGGTTATTGAAAAAGGGTTGGGTTTGTTTGCTTTTCTGTATTGTTTATTTTCAACTCAGTTTTCACAGAAATTCTGCAGTTTGAGGAAAAATGAATGTCTTTCTACTATATACAACTTATATTTATAAACCTGTATTGACAAATAAACAGCCCCACTTTTTTTTTTTTCTCATAGAATCACAGAATCAGCCAGGTTGGAAAAGAGCTTTAAGATCATCAAGTCCAACCATTTCCCCCAGCACTGCCAAGGCCACCATGAAGTTATGTCATTAAGGGCCTCATCTACACAGCTTTTGAACACTTCCAGGGATGGTGATTCCACCATTTCTCTGGGAAGCCTGTTTGCAAAATAAGATACTGCCGCAGCAAAGTGCTACATCACTATGTGAATATTAAAATGCTAAGAAGTTATATTCCAGTTCAGTTTTCCACCACCATTCAGAATAAGATGGTCACATACTAAACAACCAACAAGAAATTCAGAAATAACCACAATAAAGGCATTTCCTGGTGAACTGAGGAAGCCAGATTAAGTTTCAGTTGACCCCTTCTGCCAACCTAACAGTATTTTATTTAAAATTCATCACCCATGACCTTAAGAATCAAGGGTACAGCTGAAAAAAACATGGATCAAGCAATATGTTTGATTACTGGTGTCCATAAATCACTATCAGTTTATCTTCCACACCTCTCTTACTCCCAAATTGCACTATGTAAAATTTTCCTCAACATTTTTCTTTTCTCACCTCTCAAATTAGTTACCCGCAGAGAATTCTCATTAATGAATTATTACTGTTTTTTTAACCAAAGCTAATTTACTGTGAGGCTTAAAAAAAATATATATATATATTCTAGAACTCCCAAATTTTTATGTTTACAATATGTTACAATAAAAGTGTCATAGAATCAACTAGGTTGGAATAGACCTTTAAGATCATCAAATCCAACCTTTACTCTAGGACTGCCAAGTCCACCACTAAACCATTTTGATGAATCTCTTTTTCTGTTGCATACAAATTATTCATCCTTCTCTAAAGGCACTGTACTGTTGAAGTGTACTCAGTGAAGACAGTTATCCTCAGACATCCATGGCTATAATGATTTTAGCATTCTAACAAACATGGTAAATATTTCCTTCTACAGAGGAAAGTTATGACCACTGACAACTTCCAATATTTTTCCACTGCTCTTCCATCCATCAAATATTTGAGATAAAATACATATCATTTTTATATATAATACATACATAACCTATCATTTGAATTATGTAGCTAAATAAATATTTCTAAAAGCCCTAAAACCCAACCATGATTAAGAAAATGATTTGAGAATTTTCCCATGTTCTGCTATATTGTCATTGTGTTTCTTGGTCTGCTTTTATGTCAGCACGAGTTCTGAAATCTTCTGATTTCAGTCACTTGAACACCTGATCTTCTTGACACTGAGGTTTGCCATGCTATATGGGAAAAGAAAACTTCATTCTTCCCACTATTACGTATGTTCAAAAGTGCAACTCAAAAATGTACTTGGCAAATAGTAGTTTCTGGATAGATGAGGGCAGAAAAGAGTTTAATGGTCAGTCAACTTCTTTGTCCATAGCATCGCTATTATCTAATGTCTCAGTTGCCCTGTCACAAAATTCCCCCATTCCTGATGGAGATTCGGTTACAGCAGCTACCAGCTTGCTTCTACGGCAACCACTTGTCATATTCTCTCTCTCTGACTAAACTGAAATCAGCACTGCTACCTTTCCATATCAAAGGGGAGAAGCAATGGCAACACAGCACAGGAAGAAGAAAGACTAATGATCATTAAAGAGAAACAAGTAGGACGGTGTAGAGGTAAATAAAAATTCCCAAGTTACAAAAACTGTAACTGCTCCAATTTTAATTGGCATTCACGTGAAGTACCCATGCATAACAAGGAAGCATAAAACTAATGTAGGCATTGGTCATAGAATGAAGAACAGTGCTGCTGCTTCTTCATTACTATAATACTACAGAAGTTTACAGAAGTCCCCAAGAATCCCACTTACACAATCAGAAATCCACACTACTTACTTCCTTCAGATTCCTTATTTCAGTCTCTTGTCTTCTATTCACTGATGTTAGTTTCTTATTGAGCTGCATTGCTTCCTGTACTTTAAACAAAAGTTAAAACATGTCAATACTTCCATAGTTGACTATTTGATTTATATTTGACTATTTGATTGCAATATATGTGTATATAATTTATAACATAATTAAACACCCTTGTAGAAAGGAGATTAAGACTGAAAGTATGACTCTACTTTTTCTGTTTAGTGTGATATTATACTGGAGGATTACATCAGGTAGTATCAGTTGTTCTATACCTCGAACTATGAGTTAGGACTCTTCTGTGTATTGGTTTGTCCTTTTTTTTTTTATAAATTGTAATTTAAGTTTTAGTATCAGTTGGTGGCACTTTATTAGGATCACTTCTCCACGAGCTTTTAAACTGAGGCTTTGTTTATAGGTTTTTGATGAGTTTAATTATTTTCAGAGGAACACAGGACATAATGGACCACACTACATTCAAATGGACCACAGCAAATTCAAATAATTAACAGATGTACAGTTATATGCATACAGGACACAGAAGACAGCAATCAGCAGAGGATAATGGAGAGGAAAACTCTAGGAACCACCTCTGGCCCTTTTGAAAGGGAAGGTAATTCTCTCTTAGACTTTATGCTGGAGAAGGACTCTTCACTAGGGGCTGTAGTGATAGGACAAGGGGTAATGGATTAAAACTTAAACAGGGGAAGTTTAGATTGGATATAAGGATGAAGTTATTTACTGTAAGGGTGGTGAGGCACTGGAATAGGTTGCCCAGGAAAGTTGTGAATGCTCCATCCCTGGCTGTGCTCAAGGCCAGGTCGGACAGAGCCTTGGGTGGCATGGTTTAGTGTGAGGTGTCCCTGCCCACGGCACGGGGGCTGGAACTAGATGATCTTAAGGTCCTTTCCAACCCTAACTATTCTATGATTCTATACAGGCCAAGGTATCTCTGGGAAATTGCTTGAAGTTTCATAATTAAAAGCTAAAGATATTCACTACTCCCTGTACTTTTTCAATCTCTTCTATTCAATCTTAGGATTTTGATTCTCTGAGGTCTCTTCAGCCTTTGTTATTCCCTAATTCCTCTTCATTCACTACTAATCATTTTTTCTTTATTTATTCAAAAAGCTTTTGGCACAGGAATAGATGTGAAGTACAAGAACCCAAGACACTCCAACACACTCATAAATCCTTTCCTGTTAAAGATGGTAAGCATCCTAGGGAACAGTGGAAAACAGCCTCACAGTAAAATAAGCAATTTTGCAGGTTTATATAAGAATATGTGCTTAACAAATGAAAAACTTAAGAATGTTACAAATATCTGATACAATGAAGGAAAAAAAATTAAACCAAAACAAAAATTGGAAAAACTCTCTCCTGTCTTTCCACAGGAGTCATGTGTTGATTCTCTAGCTTTAAAATACTAATGGTGGTTAGACATTGGTTAGACAAAGGTTTAGATTTATTATAAATGGTGGTATTTTTCCTATACAGTAGCACTATAGCACATCAATGTTACACTGTCTTGTTTTCCTACATACTGCTTTAATAAAGCAGATAAAGCACCAGTTTATAAATTTAAACAATTTGCATACACAATGGTTGGGATACTGCCTGCCTGACTTTTCCACTGACCACAGTTCCTTGCTCAGAATTTAGAAGGTACCTACTAAGGATATGTTACATACTGCAATGCAAATTGCATTATCTCTGCAGTAAAAGACACAAAAGTAGTTGTCATAGAAGCAAACTGGTGAACAGATTGGCTTCTTGAACAGAAACAGTAACATTTAAATCTTTTTTTTACAGGTTCATTTTGCAATTACTGATAAATATAGGTAGAAATATGGCAAAAAGCTTTTATGTATGGTTCAAATAGTGTAAATACTGAGAGTAAATGTTATTTTTCCATGAAATTGCAAAGACTTTCCTGTACCTGACATAATAGAAAAGCCCTGTCCAGTATATATAAAAGGAAAACACAGCAGTGTTTCCTCTTACTTTGTTTTTAATATTAAATATTAGCCTATGAAAAAAATACAAAAAGTAATTTGAGGTACTGAAATATCACAAATACACATTGAACATGTTACCAGTTTATTCAAACTAAAGCTAAAAAAGCCTAACTAAACTAATAAGCAAAAACTATTTGGTTTCAGGCTGAAAAACAACCCCCAAACTTACAAGCTTTGGTATTTGAGAAGTTTGGTTGGTTGTTTTTTTGTTTGGTTTGAGTTATACAACTGCTGCTCCCCTTTCTTAAAAAAAAAAAACAAAAAAAAACCCCAAAAACTTCTTTTTATTTATGTCCTGTTTACATGAATGAAAACCCCAGGCACACAAACAAATACACAAGTTCATATTCTATACATAGACTGTGATGTTTGCATAGAAATTTATCACTTCGTTGTAAGAAATAAGGATTTATCTCTCAAATTAATAGGTACAAAACTTTTTTAAATGAGGCATTTTTATTACTTGAGGTTTTCAGCTTTATTATTTTGCAGATAAAAGTTATATATTCATATAATAAAAGTATGTGGAATAATACTTACATGTGTTAGCAGGTTCACAGATAATTTTATGTTTCAACACAGTGACAGGGATATGATACAGATTTATAAGACTTAACCTGCCATGTAGTCAGAATCTACATAACAATATCAACACAAAACTCTTCATATCACCCTATTTATTTAGTGAACTGGTTTTAAGATATTTTTTGTACAGGAAAATAATTTTTATTATTTCATTAATGTTTTCTGTCCATTTCCCAACCTTAAACCTACTTTAAAAAGCATTCATTTTCCCCTACTTGCTAATTCCTTTACTTTTGCCCCCTCATTTGTGCTGGTACAACTGTTTAAGTTGATTATGCTGAATAGCAAGAGGGAGCTGATGCGCTGCTTTGTTGTTTTGAACACAAATCAATTCTTCAATATAATTTACTATGTGACCACACATAGTAGTAGCAGTGTACCAGCAAAGAGCAGAACAGGTACAGGGCCTGTGCTGCTAAACTTGGCTCTGTCATAGAAAAAAAACACTGATCCAGTACTGAGATCCAGTAACAGTCAGTGGTAATATCTGATGCTTGGCATGAGGTAGCTACTGTTTTTCTAAACTGCCAGGTGTCTACAACTCACTGTCATCAATATACAGCAAAGGAAACAAATGCTGGAGGACACTGAAGACATACATACCACTGTGCTCCAGTTTTCCATGAACACCTTTTATGATTCCAAACTGACATGCTATTGCAGCATAACACTTCTCAACTTCATTCAGTTTCTTATGATGTTGCTCTTTTGCTGTTAAGTGCATCTGTAATTTTTGATCCTGTTAGAAACATAAATGGAGCACCTACTTAATGATAATAACTAGCATATATCAATCAACTCAACAAATACTTTTTGAAGTAACAGTGTAAATGCAAAATCATTCCCAGAATTTCTCAACTACCTATTTCACATCTAGTGATCAGTTCCCATCTCCAGATAGCGCCTCATCTCAAAGACCTGCACACTTGTAGCTTAGATTATCAAAAAAGCACTTTAACATATATTCATGTGTTCTTTAGGAGATTTTCATGTAAACGTCTGCAGAACTGTATTAACTGTTTTCAAATCCCAATTTCAAGTTCTCCTGTTATGTGGCTTAAACATGTTATTTCCTCCACCCCTAGCCTAACATACTAATGCTGCCTGTGCCTCCTCCTGCACTACCATGAAGTACAGCATTACATTCTCACATTCCTTTGATGAAGGATGCCCATGCAGTTTAATACAGCCCCTACCCCACATCTGCTATTCAGACTGGGGCAGTATCTGCCTATGTCTTTGACTGCAGATTCAAAACAATGTAGTTTTGAATCTATATTCAAAATCTGTATCTGCAGCTTCAGCTCTACATGTTTGTACCTCATTGCCCTAGCTGCTTATTTGTCCCTATTGTAGTATTCAACAAAATATACCATGCTTTTGGGTCACAGCTAAAAAAGTCACAGCTGCCACAACCCACTGCCCCCGCACCTTCAGAGAGAAGTGCAGGGTGGAAATGAGTAAGTGGCTGCAGACAGGTATAAGTAGGAGCTCCTTAAACTTCGGCAACAGTGTTAGTGTATGCATCATGAAAAGAAGGCCTATAGATGTTTATTGTCTCCTGGTACACAACACGAGCTATCTATTATGCAAACAGCATTCAGTCTTCTTTGTAAAGCCACTAGGAAAAGCACTGTCTTCCTCTTACAGTTTTAAAACTGTCATTTTTAACAATTAGGACAGAATATGTGTGTTCGACGCATCTAAATAAAAGAATTTCAACATACTTGCTAAAGAACAGAAGTGCATCAACTACTTCCAAAGAGTATTGGTGAGCTTTATTTCGATTAGTGAAACTAATGCAGATTAATACTCCAAGCTTCCTATAAAAGTACAGTTAACCTTTAAATGAGTAATTATTAATTCCTCAGTATCAACTGCAGTTGTAATATCTTGAAATATTACAAATTTACTTCTACTTTATGATTTTGTATCTGTAGTAAGTTAGATGCTTACTTTTCAAAGCATCTAACACTTTTACTTCTGTTAACATCTTGGCCTAAGTAGTATCTTACTGTAATGAATACCTTAAAGTAATTAACCAAAATGTATTTAAATTTCATGAATTTTACCAATCTCACACTTTGTGAGGGGACGACTGAAAACAGATATTCAGAGGAAACCATACTGACACATACCATCAATTCTGTTTTTATTTAAGAAAGTTATCTGTTTTCCTCCCTTCAATATATATTTGTGTTCCTCTTTATACTGTATTTCTGTTAATAGCTTTGTAGGTATATTTGGTCAATTTAAGTTTTCTCCAAAGAGAGTGGGTTAACTCCTCAAAAAAGATATCCATTTATGTAGACAACTTATCTGTTTCTAATCTACAGGAAAGCAACACAGCAAATATCTGTAAATTCAAGTTACACAGGGATGAATGTGGCCCTGTGTCTGGCTTGTATAAGGCTCCATTTCCATACAGTAACAAATGTGATACATGTCCAAGCATCAGAGAGAGGATAATAAAAGCTGATAGTAATCAAAAGAAATGACCAACATAAGGCTAGCAAAAGAGGATATACAATACAAATTTCTCATGTTTTATAAGGTATGAAATTAAACACTGCAGCAAATGGAAAGTCATAATGGAAGCACCGGTAAAGAAACACCACTACTTACAGAATCATTGTAAGGAATGCAGGTTGTGAATGCTCATGTACTTTGGCCTTTTCCTAACCATAAGTTAACAGGTGAAGAACTATCCTTACTAATGCTAGGATGTGGATTTTATGACAAAAAAAAATAAATTTAAAATTACATTTCTGTTTCCTGATAGTCATTCAGATCTATTTATTCTTAGAGATCAATGAACAGGAAGGCATCACTAATTTGGCACATAAAGAGCTTTCTTTTGTATGAATTTTTCTTACTGCTCTCCCAATTCCTTTCTTAAGTCAGCAAAACAGTGTTCCTTCTCCTCACTAGAAAAGTAGAAATATGCTTTGTTATTTCCCAGGGCTCTTTCCAGTGAGAAAAGGAACTGGCCTGCTATATCCTCAAGAGTTTTATTAAGGGCTCAGCACTTGCCTAAATATGATTTTTCATGGCAAGCTGCTCTCCAGACTTAGTGCACAGTAAAATAAAAGAGTATGTGATTCTTTCATTCACAGTGAAGAGGTCTTAAAACATTCTTCTATGGAAGACAATCAAGAAACATCAGGAGACACTGCAGGATAGGGAGGGGATGACCCTGGAGCTGGAGTAAGACCCAGAGAATGTTGGTTGTTCTTCCTGATGTCTGATACTGCGAGAACAGGAATTATTGCCCTGCCCTCCACCAGTAATAAAGATAAGCTGGGATGGGGAGTGGAATTGATTGTGGCCATATGGTTTGTTGAGGTACAATGATTTCATGGTGGAACTAGACCAGAGAAATAGCTCAGGGTCAGATAGGTGACTGGAGGAAGACCAAGAGGGAATTGCTCATATCTCAAAGATACTCTGGAAATTGAGTCACTAGTCAGAGTTACTCAGTGAAGCAGAAGGTGGTAACTGGGAGGTGAAAGTGTCACAGAAACAAAGGAGATGTAATGGCATGGAGTCCTAGGGCAAGATCATGTGAAAATTATGCAAAGGGTTACCAAGTGTAAATCTTCAACATAAAATTTTTTTTAAAAATAGTTGCTTTAGTTCCACCATTTTTCTACTTTAAAATACTTAATTTTATTTATACTGCATTACTGCCCCCTCACTGTATTTTTAAGTAACATATTACAGGCAAATTCCTAAAAGACGTGGAAAGAAAATAAATATAACACCCCTAATTTAGATTATTAAGATGAAACCAACTTTTAAAATTACATTTACTTAACATTTTTTAATTATTTTTTCAGTCATTTGGCAACTACATCTGTATTAGAAAATGAAATGGTGGCAAGGAAGCTCTCAGGAAATGCCTACACTGCCATTAAAATATCCCTGGCCCATTTTGGCTTGTGCCAAGCAGCACTCATGTAAGCAGTTCCTGGGCACAGTTCAGGAGACTGTCTGCTGGGAACAATGTGGGTTATTTGGATGCAGCTTCCCTTTGTTTTGAAGGGCACTAGAGTTTAACGAACCTAGACCGTTTCCTATCGCTTGACTGCAGCTCTGCTAAATGGTTTCACAAACATTTAGTTTACCAATATCAACACAGTCAGCAAGTGTAACTAGATAAATTACTAGTCATTCACAGAGGTAGTCACCCCATCTACATTACTCATTAATACTGATGCACTGAACCAATACCTGGTAGGCAGTGATGTCTCCCCACTGACTACACAGAGATATCAGACTCCATATTTGCTCCTCTGAAGTGCACACAAGATTTGGTCTCTAAATCAGCCATCACTAGCCTTAATCTTGTTCTTGTTGGGTTTTATATTTTATCACAGTTACATATATTTAAGATTTAGGCACTGCAGAAGACAAATAACTCTAAATGCTCAGTCTGTCAGACATGCCCAGGATCAGACAACTCAAGTTAACAAGGGAACACATGAACAGATGCTACACTCAGAGTTGTAGCATTCTACATTTTATCACCTGCTACGAAATTAATGAAGGAGGAAACCAAGACCTGACCATGCTGATTTTCCTCCAGTTATTTCTTTATTTCAGCAGCAAGAAAAAGAATACAATACAGACCCCACACTCAAACATATCCTATCAAGACAGCTAGATGTGTAGTAATTACCCTGCAGCCTCCTGACTGCACAAGTGTTTCTCTCCATATGCAGTGAGGTGCAAAGTGACTACACCACACACAATAATCGACACCTCCATTGTTGAAACAAAGGGAAGAGGGAAGAAAAAGAAATCCCCTATTTCTTTGCCTCTCTACAGTCTTTCAATATGAAACAAAACCTCCCACTATTTCAAATTCTAGTATCTACCCTACGAACTGTATCAGCACCACAATTTTCCCATAAACTTAATGGGATAGCATGCTACAGTATGGTGTACATGCAAAATATTAACACTGCATATACTAAAGAACAGGATTTCCCAGCACATAAAAAAGCTTCTTTATTGACTGGCAGGGTTTCTAAGGTGCAAGATACAAACTAAACAGCACATCTGCTTACTTTCAAAACACTAGCCAGGGCACGGTCTAATCTGTCTTTAACAAACTTAAAATTGAAATAGAAATGGGTCTCAGATAAATGCACAGTTTGGAATTTCATCCATTTTACTTCTAAGCATTTTGCCATTTGTGATAACTAAGACAGTCTACATGGGTTACTACTACCTTGATCCCTAGAACATACATTTATTTCAGTGCAACTGCACAGGCAGTATAGCTGACAGAATTTGGCTTTGGTCTAAAACTCTATTAGCCTGCTACTGCGTAGGGTTGTAGGAAAGGATTTGCTTCTGTTTACCTCGTGTTTTTCTGTTTTCATCATTTCATATCAGAACATCTTCTATAAATATGGCCATACATGTTAGGTTTCATGTACACGCAAAATACAATTTCTAATATCTTGTCCCCCACTGAATAGTATTTTTAATAACCATTCTCTGTATCATACTACTTCAAGGATTTCAGTATTTTCAAATAGCAAAAAGTTTATTAAACATAAAATCTATTAACATAAGAAGGGAAGATACTTGTTTAAGCAGCATAGATACATTTCCAGCTTATAGAAAAGGTGTAGTGATTTAAATACTCTTATTTATATGGAGCTTGCAAGTTAGGAAAGAAAAGCAATATGAAATGACCTAAATGTAAGTTCAATAATTTGTGTACTTTAAACACATTTTTTGACCAGATGTATTTTAACAATAAATACAAGTTAAAAGTGAAGTAAGACAAAACACATTTTATGTTGCCTTTGATCTTTAACTTGTAGCCTTATCTCCCAGGTCAGAGGGCACATTATTCAATTTCACCATATTTTGTGTAAAACCACTGTAGCGTTGAAGATGACTTTCAGTACAAATGTCATGGTACTTAAAGCTAAACTGGACCCTAGTTTTTTGAGCTTCTTAATTAAAATCACAGTTTGTAATGGTCTGACAATATTATCTTTATTCTTTCCAGTTGAACAGCAGCAGAATTTTCATAGCATTTATTCAATCAAGCTTAGCAATGTTCCTGCAGCTCACTCTTTTACTTCCTAAAACACACAGCAGGGTTCAGAGTGACTGTGCTGTCACTCTACATAAATTTATTCTCTGTGTCAAAGGGAGTAAGCTAGACTGGATGAAATCTAAACTGTTCAGTGGAACTGTTGTTAAGAAGTAATTCTAAGGAGTGAAAAGTGTGAGAGGAAAAACATCAGGTTTTCTTAAAAAAGAAACCTGCTTAGAATTCTCCAGTACTTCTTTCAGTCAAATATGCTAGATTCTATAAGCATAAGAGTAATATAATTACATTATTCAAATCACAGTCTGAAAAAAATCTTCACGCTAACCTATAAAGAGAACAAATGTACCAATTACACTTTAATCCAGTGAGAAAAAAATCTGCATGTTAAACAGCAGCTGTCACATTATGAAAACTTTAAAAAAAAAAAAAGACTGGATTCGAAAGTTTTTCAGATTCAAAGCTGATATTGCCTCTTTTGGTTATTTTTTAATAATTATCACACATTATTTAAGTATTAGTGATGGTTAGTACTTGCATGATACTCTAAGCAGACATTCTCTTTTCATAAAAGCTATACCTTATTTTTTTTTTTACTTTCATTAATTTCTTACCATTTCATTTAGTTTCTTTTGCAAAGTGTATTTTGAAATCTGTAAAACAAAAGGTAGGTATTCATTTAATTTTAGTTACATTTTTTCTTACAACAACCTGCATATTTATGTATTCTCATACCTAAGATTTAATTGCATTTATTGCCTAGTCAATACAGTAATACTGTTTTTTTGCAAAGTGAATCTAATAATAAAAAGAATCTAATAAATAAAATCTAATAATAAAAATTATAAAATAATAAAACAGTAATACTGTTTTTTTGCAAAGTGAATCTAATAATAAAAAGTAGTGTAGTTTTAATTCATAATTTCACTTTAATATTTAAATAATGTAAATACGCTTTACACTGATTTATTACTACAATTTTGAAAAATGCATACATCCTTGTGTTTTCCGACATGTATCATAAAAATAATATGTAAATGGACCACAGTCTGCCAACTGGACCCTTAGAAAGAGAGAAGAAGAAAGAGATAGAAATAAAAGTCCTGGAGGAATACAAGGATGTTCCCTGTTGGGATAAAAGAAAAAAAAAAGGGTCTAGGTAGATGTTCTGAATGGTGGCATATAAAGACATATTAAAGCATGCAAGATTGTTACAAGATGGACATTTGAAGTCATTAACACTATTTTTAATACACTTTTGAAATCAGAGAATCTTGACTTGCATAATACTTAAGTTCACAACAGCTTTAGTCTCTATATCTCTTAGAATGTTTATAGAAACACTGACCATGTCAAAGAAAACAAGAGAAATGTCAAAGAACCCAGAATGTGTAAATCTTATACAGAAAATATTTTTGGAAAAGGTCTAGACAACAATCATTTTAAGATAGAATTCTGACTTTCTGGATAGAGAAGAATACAGAACCAAATATGAGATTCCTCACTCCTATTTTAGGCTGATTTTTCTGGGTCCACAGGTTCATTGTGACCCCTTGCTTCCTCAAGGCACGGCAGAATTTCCTAGACCTCAGCTATACTGATTTGATTTGTGAACATTAAACATTTCATGTTGAGATTAATTTTTCTTTCAATTTCTGTTTTGTTTTACAAAGTAAAGTCCACTGGAATCTTTCATTATTCTTGCTGTCTACATATTATGCTGTCCTGGGTTCAGCAGTAGCAGTCGTGTTTCTCCTTCTTGGTAGCTGGTGCAGTGCAGTGTTTTGACTTTTGTCTTGGGAACAGAGCTGATAACAATGATGTTTTGGTTTGGCCAAGGACTTTGTGAGGCTCATACTCTGCCAGGGAGGAGGGGAAGCCAGGAGGAAGCTGAGACAGGACACCTGACCCAAGCTAGCCAAAGAGGTATTCCATACCACAGCACGTCATGCCCAGGATGTAACTGGGAGTTACCCGGAAGGGCAGGGACTGCAGGGTTGGAGGAGGTATCGGTTGGAGCTTGGTCGAGCTGGGGGGGGCGAGTTATCAGTTGGCTGGTGGTGAGATGTTGTATTCTCTTCCCTTGTTATTTCCTTTATGATTATTATTATTGGTGGTAGCAGTAGTGATTTGTGTTATACCTTAGTTACTAAACTGTTCTTATCTCAACCCGTGGGAGTTGCATTCTTTTCGATTCTCCTCTCTGTCCCTCTGGGAGTAGGGGGAGGGAAAGAAGGGGGGGAGTGAGTGAACGAGTTACCTGACTGGGTTTAAACCACGACATATGCTCAGCAAACCATGGAGGTATATTCTCTATCATCTGTGTTATACCAAGGTTTGAACAAGGCACCAAAATCCTCACAGCTATGGCACAGAAGGCCAGCCACGGCAATAAATTTCTTTTGCTCACTTTCACTGTTAACTAAATTACTAAACAGTCTCATACCAAAACAAGTAAATGCATCCTATTCTAAGAGAATGTTAATAAGAACTGAACATATTTCAAAGTCAAGGGTAATAATCCATTGTAAACATTTTGATTTCAATAGAATTAACTATTATGCCACTCAGTTTTGGGTAGAAAAATAATTAGTTCCTGTCAATACCCGAAATCTGGCAATGCACTGCAATGCTAATTCTCTTTTGTGTTGACTTCGCTTTTAATCCATTTTCAACACATCTGCCTTGGTCTTTAAAAGAAAACCACGTACCAGCTATGTCCCTATGTCTTCCTTTAATCCAAGTAACTCTGAATCACAGCCACAGCTGCTCCAAAACTATGTAATGATATAAAATTCAATACAAAAATAACAATACACAGCATAAGAGTAAATTGTGCATTCATTTGACCATTTTCCTAACAAACAGGTATTGGAAAGCCAAGGATTAAGTGGTAAATATAGAAACCTCCTAGTGAGAGGAAATAATAAAAAAACCACAGGTAGTGCTGTTAGCGGGAGGCCTAGTGCGAATACTTGCTTAGGTGTCCAAAACCCAGGTTTCCAGAAAGTTGAGAAATAAGATGACAAGAGCAGAAAGAGGAAGACCGTGGAAATGAAAAGAAGGCACATTTCACACCCTATTTGGATTTCTATTGAGTTTGCGATTCTTCTGGAGGAAAAGAACTTGAGGTGAAAAGCTAACTTAAAGTAGTCTTGGTACTGAAGACTAGAACAGAAACTCAGTGTTAGAAAATGCGGTGTACATGTACTAGAGAGATTAAATGAGAAGGCCTTGAAGGCCCTCTTAAAAATAACTATTTTCTTAGCACTTGCATACCAAGGAAAGTTATTTACCAAAACTAACAGTTTACCTGTAAAGCTTTTAATGCTTCTTTCAGTCCATCGATTTCTTTTTCTTTTGTTTCTACAGCAAGTTGATATTTTCCCTTTCAACAAAAGCTGTACTTCAGGATTTGGGTGGAATAAGTATGTTTACAATGAGAATTTCTCAAAAACAGTGTTACAAAACAAAGCACTACTCTACTACGACAGAACAATTCACTGATGAAAACAGGTGAAAATTCAAATAATTAAATTTCTATCACAATAAAAAGCAAAGTGAAAATGATTGTGTCTATTCACCACTTATGACTAGTCAGAAGTTTTAAAATATTCTTTTCTGGGAGAGACAAGCCTGACAAAGGCAGAATTAATAAGTTACTTCAGAACAAAGATACTAAACAACAAAGAAAGCATTAGGTAAATCTATTTTCTTATCCGACGTAGCAGGGTCTTCACAGAAACAACTTCCTCAGCTTTTCCAGTCCACAAAGATTAAACTGTAATCTGCTACCACTAGAATTACTAAATACATGTAAGCATATTTTATAGTTTTATATATATACATGCATATACAGCATGCACATACATATGAATTTATTTACATGTGCATGTCATGTGCATATAAGTCAAAGGAAATCGGAGGAATTAAATTAGGTGAGAAACTCTAACAGCAATCAATATGAGTCACACTTCACAAGTAATTGAAATTCTACAGGTTATAAACAAAAAACCAAGTGTAACAGGTTATAAAAAAATATCTTTCGCTAAGGCATTAGCAAGAAAAATAATTTAACTCTGATATACTTAGCTTATACTTAGAACACGTTCAGTCAGTTATATGGCATTATCATTTACCAAATAATTTAACAAAGTACCTTTTCTTCTTCCATGGCCATCATCCTTGCCTGTAACTTGGTTGTCAGCAGCATATCAAAAATAAAAAATAAAAAAAAAAAACCACACACACACAAAAACAACAAAACACAAACCAACAAACCACCAAGAAAGAAAGGAAGAAACAATAAATCAATACAGCACATGGGATTAATTTTATTCATGCAACTTGAAAAGACAATATATTTATATTACCATGCATAGTGTACTTCCGGTTTTGTTGGGGTTTTTTCTCCCTTTAACTACAATAACTATAAAGTCACAAACAGCAAGCTTGTGAGTCACAAATTATTTTTTCAAGAAAGAAAAAACCCTAATTGCTTGCCTGTTTCTTTTTTAGTGAGATATGATTGTGATGCAGCATTAGTGAAACTCTTCATCACCATGTGGAACAGTTTCAGTTCCTATGACTGTTCTCTGCAAGTTATTTCAGCACTCAGATTTGCTGATTATATATTGTGCAGAAAAAAACCACAACCCCACTTGAAAGACTGAAACACACTTTCAAATGTTGAACGAAGTCATGTGGCAGATCTTTCACTGTGCTTTACGTTGCAGAGGACATGCCATTTGAGGAAGGGGGAGCTCTTTCTCTCCCAGGAAGAGCAATATACTGGGACAAACTGTCAAAATACAGGCATTATACTACGTCTGGAAGAAAGAAAAAGACCCGATTTCTTTAAGCTGTGTATTCTAACATTTTATATACTACATAAAAATATTTTAATACCAACTAATAACTTGCTGTTATGCAAACATTTTTAAACTCTCACTGTCAAAGTCAGAAGGCCTTATTTTGCTACCTGTTTTTTAAGAACTGCCATAGCTTCTTTGTTTTGTTGCTGCAACGTGTCCATCTGATGCTGCAGTGTTTCCTGCTCATGCAAAGTAACAAGTGAGGTTTAAATATCTTACAGCTAACCATACATATGGGTTTTCAAGAAAAAACAAACAAACAAAACCAAACTGATTCCTTGTTAAATATTTTTAGAAAGGCATGATTGATTAAAAAGCCTGAAGACTAAAAAGAGACATTTGTTAACTGGTAATCATCTTTTTGGTAGCAGCTTCTCTACTTTACAACAGGTAACTCTTCTCACCTCTGGAATTCAGCTCTCTTGTTGCCAGGATTTCTATAAGTGACTCTTACCTATCCTACCAACCTGCATAAGCAATTTAACTCCCATTGCCATCTTAAGACAGCATTAGGTTTGCCATGTGCTGATGTTAAATGCAAAGTGCAGAAAACCAGAGTTCACTTAACTGCCTGGAAGTCCCATCTTTTTATTAATGGTGAACTAAATTGCTGTTAAGATCTCAGAATGAATGTAAATCAGAACCAGATTATCAAGAATTGCAATGCTAGGTAAAAAAAAAAACAAAAAAACCCACCAAGCAAAGAAGGGCTACAAATTGAAAGCCCTGCTGCCTATACAAATACAGAATGTTTCCTGTTTCTGTGTGCACATATATATCTTCCAGAGAGGAAAAAAAAAAAGGCAGTTTGGATTATTAATTTGAGATGGTTAGGTTGAACTCCAAGATGACAAAGCCTTCCTTTACTACCAAGATGCTAAATATCCCAAGATCAAGGATAGAGCTGAAATTATTGTTTTTTCTGTGAACATAAAATATACAGAGTAAAAAGCCTTTTATCTTGTGACCTAGTGACAGGGGTCATAGGTTTGATTGTATGAGAGAAGGGAATGAATTTCCTACGCAAGCATAACCTTAAAAGCCCTAACCCTAGGAAGAATGTTAGATTATTTTACTGAAAACTTCATTTTGAGTGCTTAAAAGTTGACAAACCTCTTTCGAGAATCTCTAGCACACAAGTTTATTTGAAGTATTTTTTTTAAAGAATTGTCACCTCCAAAACATTGCAAGTGAAGTTGTTTGTACAGCTGCACTGGTACTTGCACTTGTCAAAGCCAAGCATAATACAGAGAAGCTGTTGCATAGCTTTCCCCACACCGACATGTCAATAGGCCTCATGTTAAGCTAAATCTCTTATTGCTTCAATATTTATATGCCTTTTGAGTGGAGACTTCCAGTCATGCCAAATATTATGATGGTACTCTTTCATTAATTGGATTTCTAGGCTGGGCACAATCCGAATCAATATAAAAGCTACAAAAGTTCATGGAAAGAAAATAAACTATTGGCTACCAATCTACGATGAGAAATTACCATAGCTTTAAAAAGGCGAATTGTACCAAATCACAATCCATAGTAATATCATATTGAAATTAAATCCCAGCAGTTAAAACACTATAACCATACAGGGAAGTTACCTTCTGCCACTCAAGTTCCTGTTTCTCGACAACAATTTTACTTATTTGATCTTCATAATTAATTTCCGTTTCCTAGTTACAAAAAAAAAAAACAACACAAATTTACACAAGGCAGGACCAGCAAATCAAATAACAACATAAGTTGTATATTCATAGTCTTCTTCCCTTACAGTCCAGTACATAGAACAGTATGTGCCTACACACCGCACAGCAAAAAAGGTAACAAAACCCTCTGGATGTAGCAAAATAGCAGGTAAGTTCAGCTGTTTTGGTCAGAAAATTTGCAGAGTCAATAAATTTAAACTTAGATTGAAATGCATAACAGAAGATTAGAAACAAGGATTATAGCCCCCTTAATCAGCAGGCACAGCTCTCTCTTCATATATATTCTCTCCTGCTTCTTAAGACAAAACCAGACTCAAAGGGAATATACCAGACTGGATTTCACAGTTAAAAAAGGACTAAATATTCTGATGAAACAAGTCAAAATACTAAGTTGAAGAGAAATTCAGTAAACTGCAATAAGGGCTTCAAGAATCCATTGCTAGTCAAAGATACACAGTCATGGTTAATGAGTCAGAATCTTTGGGACATCTTAATTATTCAACTCAAAGCATTTGAATCTTTATGTTTTACTGACATCTCCCAGGACAATTGAAAAATCCTCTGTCAGCAATTACTTCTGTTAATATGGATTTATTATTTATCACAGCCTTCTGTGCCAAAAACCTCCTGACCTACCAGATGAAAGTAAGAAGCTAAACAGAAGTCATGGATAATCAGCATGTACTTTTACGAGATGAGCTACTAGGAAATCTGAAGAAGAATGTTACTAAAGTCTGAAGTTTTCTTCACAATCCACAAGATGTACTAGAAACAGGAAGGTGTGCTACGTCTCCTGCAATGCAGGAGTGCTTTGTCAAAAATGAAACTATTACTGTGATAATAAGTGAGACTTACCTGCTGATAATCACAGTTGCTAAAAATTTATGGGAATTTTCCTGAAACATGCTGTTATTAGTCAAATTTTCCTAACTGGAATCAGCTTCCCCTTAATTTTTTTTTTTTATTTTTTATTACGAGTACTGGCCTTCCTTTACAAATGCAATACTTGAGAAAGGAAGAACACGTTTCCCTATCAAACAGTCATTATTCAGACTTTTGATGCATATTCACCCCTGAATTGAAGCAATTCACCCGTCCTGTTACTGTGTACAGTCAAAATAATGAACACCCCTTAAAGACCTAGAGAGAGACGCTTATGTGTTGCTCCCAGCATCAAAAGGCTCATTTTGTGCCTTTTCCCTGCACACTGATGGTCAACTTGAAGAATTGACTACCTTAAGGTAAGATGGACACAAGCGGTCATTTCAAGTTTTTGATACAAGGATATCTACAATGCTTCAACAGTTTGTGCAAGACTGTTTTGAAGAATACTGCGCAACCCCTTCTCACCTAATACAACAGTTGATCCACAGTCCCACTGTATTATCAACAGAAATAAAAACGCAACATATGTCCGGAGGTGATTGAAAAAAGGTTTTTGACATCTTTTATAGATTTTAGGGTCAAAACTGACTTCTTTGATTAACAGGTAGTTTAGGCACATCTGTGGGTAGAAGCAACACTTCTATCCACAGAAGACTACTCCTAAGTATTTCAGGAGTTACCTGTGGGATTGAAAAATATGCCTCGCAGACTTGAATATTACTAAGACTTTATAACTGCCCTAAGAAATAGCATGTTAAAACTTAAGGCATTTATAATTAACTCCCACATCCATACAAAACACTTTAACTAAAATACAAAAATACAAGTTTGAAAGCTGCTTTAAATTCCATTTTAAGCAAACCCTTTGCTTTGAATGCTGAAGAGGGTAAGCACCAGAAGTTCTAACTGAACAACGCTTCTCCAACTTAATCCCAAATTATAAAGGAAAATCTGGAAGCCATCAAAAAAGTGTGTATATATAAATACTGCTGAAAAAATAATCATAAATACTTAACCTGAGGATGACAATTACATGATTCAAATATTCTCATGTGAAATTGCTAATAATTGTAAACCTTACGCATTATTTTTACTTCTTTCAAAGAATATTTATAGTTCACCCATTTCAAATTGTAAACTTGTGTGCAGCACTTTTTTTTTTTTACAAGTTTCACCAACTGTTTAATAGGATAAAACCATCTTTGTTAACTTTGGAGAGTAATACTGTGTCTGTAAGTTTGATGAAGTATCAAAAACCCCACAGAAGCTTGAAAGTGTCATTTTTTTTTTATTGGATGCCTTAGAACTACATGGATTTAACTGTTCTCATAAAAACAAAAAAAACAAAAAACAACCCTACCATAACAATAAAAGAGGAGTAATTTGATGGTTTATTTACTCGTTATAACCTTTAGAAACTGTCAGGCTCTCTTTAAAGTGTTTGCTTCAGGCTGTAGTTTTACAAGATGGGCTGTGGATTGGTCAAGCCTCCTCGATTCTTGACCCTGAACAGATTTAGGAACAGAGTACAGCTGGCTCATGTCCAAGCAGCCAAAACTGCTGTTAGGTACTTTTATTGTCTTTTTCAAACTCATCATTTACCTCCTACAAAACTGCACATCCAATTTCTCATGCAGGTCAATCAAACGGTACTCAACAGAAACTACAGTTTCTGATTGTTTCATGCTGTAATCAGAATACCCTTCGTACCAGCACAACTTTTAGTGGACCACAGATATCCTTCTTCAGTTTTGATCCCAAGACAAATGTTAAAGGGATAAAAAAAATGTAACAGCCTTATTATAACTTTAGTTCCTGATACAACATTTTTGGATCATAACGGTAATGACAGCTAACCAAAACCTTTAGCAACCGCATATTTGGGATTTATTCTCAAAAGCTTTTCTGTTTCGGAAGTACACATTTCTCTTTCTCCACCAATCACTTATTTTCCTTTGGAAATCTTTCATTGCTTTGCCCTTGATTCCACTGCATAGGCTGCAATTGCTCTATATTAAAATAAATCTCACCTATCAAAATATATTCCTTAAATTAGTACACGTGGTCTACTAAGATGCTTGCACCGATACTTATCATGTTCTTCTCTCCAACTTCAGGTAATCCATTCCTAATCAAAAGCCACGTTATTTGCCAACACAGAAGTTAAGCTAACACACTGCTTACTGACTTGAATAAGAACTTTGTATATGTCACAGTCATGAGATCGATAAACCTCAGCACTGCTTAGGCTTTTATACCCCCATACTTATTTATTTTTTAATGTTCAGCTTTCCTTGTTTGTTTTGTTTTGCTAAAAAGTACCTTAAGTTACACTTAGACAGAAAATCCACGTATTAAACTATTAGGATTTTTTGTTGTTTCCCTGCAGCCTGTGTTAGTGGTGTCCTGTTGGTCAAATTCTAGATAACAAACAAAAGCCACCCACATCTATTTTGTGTTATTTTATCATTGTTTCTCCCCCTCCAATTTCCTCTTTTTACTCTACCATTTAAGAAATTCAAATTAAGCTCTTCACCATTCTCATTTTCAACACCTAGAATTGTTTCTTGCAACAAAAAAAAAAAAAAAACAAACCAAAAACCACCAAAAAAACCCTCACTAAAATATTTTGTTTCCCTACCATCTACTTAATTTCTAGAAAATACTTCTGCTTTAATTTCTGAAGTAGCAATTGTCCTTCTCAGGAACAGAAACTTCAAAATACAGTGTTAAAACATTTTAAAATACAGTATTAAAGCATAAAAAGAGTAACTTAAAAACAAAGTCTTTTTAGTTATAAATAAATAAAATCTTCATTTATGCAATAGTTTCTTTCAATCTCATGGTTTTGGTCACTGCATATCATTGTTTCCACAGAGCTGTCTATATAGCTACAGTAGATGCCTCTGGTGTCCTTTTTAACTTTTCTGCTATTCCACACATCTGAAGGCGGTTATTCTGCAGAACACACCTTCAACAAGGTTTAGTTTTAGATCTATTGTAATGTTTCTGGGGCTTTTTAGGTCTAGATATATCACAAACAATACGGCCATTCAAATCAAGTCATTCTGCTTTGCTCCTTCTGATAACTAAGCTTATAGTTTCATCAACTTTCTTCACTTGACATCTCAAAAAGTTTGCCTTTGGGGCCCAGGTGACATTTCCAAATACTAACCTTATACTGCAACTTTCCATTTTTATCTCGATACCAATCTTCTCTTGTCCATCTTACCTGTGAAACACTGCTAAATCAATGAGTTAGCTCTGCACAATTATGTACATGTCTTCCATTCTTGCACAGACTAGCTCAGAATACCCAAGGTACAACAAGCTGTACGGCACTACAGTGTGCAGTGCAAACCCCTTCACAGTTGCCAGAAGGCAGAAGTACATTTTAGGAATGGTAGGAAACAGCTAAGGGTTAGCAAAGCTCCTTCATGACCTCTCTCTAAGAAAACCTAGAAATAAGCCACTGTGCTGAAAAGCTTGGATTAGAATAGCCAAAGGCATAGCAAAGGTAGAGTAAGAGGAATGGAGATAAACTTGTTCAGACCTATCTTAAAGGAATGGCACACAAAGCTCTGCAGCACTAGGGTGAGCTACAGCTTCTGAGAACAACAACCAGAACAAACTTAAAGTGAGGTGCTGTGAGAGCCATAATGTCTGCATCAAGACAACAGACATGATTCAGGATTTGTCTCTCTCTTCACAAATAAGTAAGAAGATACAAGGATATTTACTTTCTCAGTGAGTACTCATTGGCCATCAACATGAAAGTGGGTAAGCACAAAAAAAAAGATCCAATCCATATCAAAACAGAAGAAGGCAGACAGAATGTGACAGAAACTAGGAAAAACAGGGAAAAGAGAGAGAAAGAGTATTAGAGGCAGAGGAGGAGATGAGGGCCAATAACAGCAAACTGACAGGAACAGCTAGCCTTTAAAAAATATTCCTGTCCACAACAGTCCTGAAACCCCACATTCCTGTGCTATGAACACAGGTAAGAAGTTCCCTGGCAAATCAGATATCTCATCCCCATTTTGGTGGCTGACTAATACCACATGCTATGTCAACATACTCCT